TGGAGTATAAGCTGGTGCTATACTAAGATCTATGAACAGAGCTTGATGAGCTGTCGAATTCTACTTTCCAGTTCATAGATGCTGGATTCTTTAGTGTCACTGCTTCCTGGGACTGTTTCTGTATCTCCCTCTGGTGAAGCAATAGTGATCTTCATTCTGTTTTTTTGTTATCATTTTCTCTTTGTTTATGTGCCTTATCAACCTGTTTTGCCTTCCCATCCCAGTAGTGTACTGGTATTTCCTTGGTCGTCGTGAATGTTTGTATCTATGCGGATTCCCCGAGAGGTCAGTGAACATCTTGCCAAGCACGCTGCTGATATTCCCTCCCAGCCGCAATGCGCGATCGTTGATCTCAGCACATTTCCGTTTCATCACAGATCGGTGAGTGGATTAGCAAGCAGATCAACAAGCCAGATCAAATCATTAATAGTAGCACGCCGTGAATCGCGCGCATGGCTGCCGTCGGCTTGTCGCTGGTGTGCAACCAGTGCGGCACGCAGCTAGCTAGCGCGGACGAGGCGCAGTTGCATGCGGAGGTCACGGGGCACACGGATTTCGCCGAATCCACCGAGCCAGTGCGTGCTCCTCTCCATGCCTGCTCTCCTCGCCTTGCGTGCTTTCTCTTCCCGCCATTTTTCCAAACGCACGCCGGAATCCTAGCGTTCCCAGTCGGAAGCACCCGTGATTTTCCTCCCTTAGACGTCTCTCCGGTCTTCCACTGCGCTGCGTCGATCCCGTCCGGTATCGACTCTCAGGCTACTTTCAGATCAACCCCTCCCGCGCCATATCCTTCCTTGCTCAACTCTTCCCTCGCGCTGTCCCCACTTCGCTCACTAACCCTGCTTCGCTTTACTCCCCCCCCCCTTTCCGCAACCTCGTTTTGCACTTGACCCGCGTGTCGCCGTCGCATCCGGCAGGTGCTTCGCCTGGTGTGCGACGAGTGCAGCAAGCCATGTCGCTCGGCCACCGTACGCCCTCCTCCCGTCCCTCCCCTTCCTTCCCTCCCCTCGCCGCGCGCTCCTTTTTCCGCACTTCCCTACCCCCCTCTCGCCGCTTCAGTCACTCACGCTCACCTTCATCTACTGCTCGTTGCCCCCCCTCCCCACGCTGCATCCCTGCACGGACGCAGCGTTACGCGCATACGCTCAGCCGGTTTGCTATATTTTTTAACAGCTTCGTATATTCTCTTCGCTCTTCATGCCTGCATGCATGCACTCGTCCTGGCGTCCGTGCGCTAATGGCGGCGCCAACAGGAGCGCGATCTGCACACGAAGCGCACGGGCCACACGGCTTTCTCCGACGAGACGGCTGCAGCAGCCAAGCCTCTCAACCTCGATGCTGCTTCAGGTGCTCGTCCCCTTCCGTCTCTTTCGCCTCTTTCGCCTGTTTTCACAGCTTTCGCCTGGGTTTCCTCTGTCGTTTCCCCCTAGTCTGTTCGTGATTGCGTGCGTCATGAAAGCCTTTCTCGACTCTCTCCTCTCACCTGCTCTTTTACGCCGCGCTCTCCGTCTACCCTGCTCGTTTCACGCCTCTCCCTCCGTGCCTGCTGCCTTGTCTGCCGCCGTGCCTGCTGCCGGGCCTGCATGTCTGCATGTGTGCGTGCGACCGCGGGGCGTATCGGAGCGAGCAGCTGGGGGCGGCGAGGAGGGAGCGAAGGCAGGGAGGAGCGGGGAGGGGCGCGGCGGGGAGTCCGCGGAGGAGATGGTGGCGCCGTGGGTGAATCCGGAGCTGTTGTCGGACCTGGAGGCCATGGGGTTCTCCCACAACCGATGCGTGCGCGCCCTGCACTCCTCCGGTGCGCCTCATGCATGGGCTGTGGGAAGGGAAGGGAAGGGATGGGAAGGGATGGGAAGGGATGGGAAGGGATGGGAAGGGATGGGAAGGGATGGGAAGGGAAGGGATGGGAAGGGAAGGGAAGGGAAGGGAAGGGATGGGAAGGGATGGGAAGGGATGGGAAGGGAAGGGATGGGAAGGGAAGGGATGGGAAGGGATGGGAAGGGATGGGAAGGGATGGGATGGGAAGGGAAGGGATGGGAAGGGAAGGGAAGGGAAGGGATGGAAGGGATGGGAAGGGATGGGAAGGGAGGGATGGGAAGGGAAGGGATGGGAAGGGATGGAAGGGATGGGAAGGGATGGGAAGGGATGGGAAGATGGAAGGGATGGGAAGGGAAGGGATGGGAAGGGAAGGGATGGGAAGGGAAGGGAAGGGAAGGGATGGGAAGGGATGGGAAGGGATGGGAAGGGAAGGGATGGGAAGGGAAGGGATGGGAAGGGATGGGAAGGGATGTGAAGGGATGGGAAGGGATGGGAAGGGATGGGAAGGGATGGGAAGGGATGGGAAGGGATGGGAAGGGATGGGAAGGGATGGGAAGGGGAGGGAAGGGATGGGAAGGGGAGGGAAGGGATGGGAAGGGATGGGAAGGGATGGGAAGGGGAGGGATAGCTTTTGTCTGGTCTGTCATGGGATGGGAAGGGTGGTATGCACTCATTTGGTCACTCAGTGTGCACTGGCGTTGTCGTACAACTGGAGTACGTGCCTGGGCTGTCACGTTGCGGGCTTGCTTGCATCTGCATGCGTCAGAGCATCACAGTGCTTATGCGTTCGCTTGCATGGGTGTGGGTGTGGGTGTGGGTGTGGGTGTGGGTGTGGGTGTGGGTTGAGGGTGGGGATTTGGGTGTGTGCCACCGTCTGTGGCATGTGCAGGTGGCGAGTCGATTGTGAATGCAGTGGCGTGGATAGCGGACCACGAGAACGACCCTGACATCGATACACTCCCACTCGTCAGTACCGCCTTGCTTGCCTGCTTCCACTCTCCCTCTACTGCTCTCCGTCTGCTCTCCGCCTCCTCCTCCTGCCCCTCCATCTGCTTCCCATGCTGCCTGTCAGTTCCATCGACCCTGTATTTGTTGTTGTGCTGCTTGGCCATTATTTTCGCCCGCCACTGCTCGTCCTGCTGTGCGATTCCCCCTTTCATTTCTCAAGATTGCGGACAATGAGAAAGCGTTGACTTCGCTTCTTACTGGTGCATGCCACGTGTACCACCTGTGCCACGTGTGCCACGTGTCACTCCACGTGTGTGCAGGTGCCAGTAGCACAGAGCAAGCCGAAGAAGCAGCTGACGCCAGAAGAGGCAAAGCGACTGGCAGATGAGCTCAGGTGGGTGGGCGAGGTGGAGGGTGGGGGAGGGCGGAGGGTGGGGGGGGCGATGTCACAGGGTGGAGGCGTGTATTTGCTTGTACATGCATGCACGGAATCATAAGACGAGCTTGCGAGGTGACTCAGAAGATGCGTGTGAGCACTTGGGGTGCAATGCGGAAGGATGTTGTTGTGCCTGTGGACGCCTGTTGTGGTGTGTCTGCTTGAATGGGGCTGAGTAAATGTGATCATGTTACTGAGGAATGGCACGACTGTGTTGTCATGTGGCATGTCACTCGTTGTGCAGGGAGAAGGCTAGGAAGAAGCGTGAAGAGGAGGAGAAGCAGAGGGAGAAGGAAAGGGAGAGAGTGAGTTCTGTTCTTTCAACATTTTCTCGTCTTGCAAGCTTATAGGCTCTAGCGTACTTCCATAAAACCAGGCTATGTATGAACTTTCTCACTGCCATGCATGTCTGTGCCGCTTTGCATGCACCACGGAGGCACACACGAATTCCGGGATTCCTACAAGCTCATGGCACTGCCTTGGCAGCATGTGCCATGCCTACGGCCATACTTTGAACTTCGCTTCCCCTTGCTGTTGCGTCTGACCCTTGTCATAAGCCTGTTTTCACACAATGATGGGCCCTGTGCTCGCGTGCGCACGTGCTGTTGGGGTGGTTGCATGGTGAGTGGCGCAGGAGCGCATAAGAGCAGGCAAGGAGCTGCTGATCGCGAAGCAGAAGGAGGAGGAGGAGGAGCGCAAGAGGTCGGTGATCTCCTGTATTCCATTACCCGCTTGCTGCCTCACCTGCTCGTCTCCCTTCTGTATCCCATGCAGCGTTTTTGCAAGGGACGGCCGAGATATACGACTAGGCTATCTAGCCTCGTCTATTACATATCCTTTTCGTTTTGGACGTCTCCTGTTCGTGCACCTTATGAGAATCCTTAGAAGTATCCCCTCAGTTAGAAGAATCCCGTGTGCAGTTAATGTGCGGGCGCTGGCAGGGCGGTAGTAGAGGAAGAGAGGCATCTATGGTGACTGGTCTGGTGGTTGCTTGGGGGGGTGCAGGCGCATTGAGTTTCGGCGGCGGGAGAAGGAGGAGGAGCAGCGGGCGAGGGAGAGGATTCGACAAAGACTGGAAGAGGACAGGGTATGCACGGTTGAGTGTGTGCCACGTGTGTGTGTGCATTGCGTGTGTGCCATTGACATGTGCCATTGACATGTGGCATGCACTCTCACATCCACCTGGTGATGTTCCAACGCGCACTGCAGCGCCACATGCGCCAGCCACACACCCTCATCTTTCTCGTCCCCCGGGCTCTCCCTCCCTGTGTGAGCAGCAAGAGCGGCGCAGGAAACTGGGCCTGCCTCCAGAGGAACCCAAGCCCCCCGCTGCCGCTGCTGCTGCCGCCACTGCTGAGGCCGGTGCTGCCAAGGGGGCAGCGGAGCAGGAGAAGGTGGGTGCTGCACTATGGAAGGGTGGATGGGTGGTGGAATTCCGAAGGGGGAGGTAGAGGGTGAGGGGTTGGCAGAGATTTTATTGCCACTGCTTTTGGATGTGAGGATGCTTGTTATGCTGTGTAGGTCGGCATGGTCATGGGCAATGGCACGGAGGGAAGGCAGTCATGTGCATCAGATGTGTGTGTGCCATGGGCCGCACACCTCTCACTTCTATGTCATCATGCATGCTCCTCACTGTAGTGTACGTCTCCCCTGTCTCTTCCCCCTAGCCCCTCCTCACATCTCGACTCTCCTTCCCCCCTTCCACTTTTTCCCGGTCCACGAGCAGGCGCATCTGCCTGTGAAGCCAGCATCGCTAGCGGAGAAGATGAGGAGTGCGCTCCGTGCTCTCAAGCAGGCACACAAGGTGAGTGGGTGGGTTGGTGGATGAGTGGGTGGATGGGGGAGTGTGTGGGTGTGGGGGTGTGTGGGTTGGTGCGTGGGTGGATGCATGTGTGCGTGGGCGCATGGGTGCATGCGTGGTATTCGCATGCATAGGTCTAGTGCGGTAGTGTGCGTGGCGGGAATGGGACCAGCCAGCTCACTGTGTGCTGCTGCTGCTGCTGGTGCTGTGTGTGGCAGGAGCAAGATGGCAAGGTGAAGGTGGCGTTTGAGACGATGCTCAAGTACATCACCAACGTAGCACAGCGGCCCAGCGAGGACAAGTTCCGCCGCATTCGCCTCGCCAATGCCGCCTTCCAGGTCGGCCCAACCTGCTCGTTTTTCTCTCTCTTCCTCTCTCCCTCTCTCTCCTCTCGTCAGATTTGCAGCTTGTTTTGTTTTTTTTGTCGTTCCTGTGTGTAAAGCCATTGGTTTTAGAATGCTAAGTGATGTCCTCCTCCCTACCTCCTCGTCCACAATTGCCCTCACAGGCCGCATCCCAGCTCTATCCCTCCCGTTGCGCTGCCTTTCTCCAACCACTGATGACAATCTGTCTCCCCTCCCCACTGTCCTGCCACTTGCCATGCTTGACCAGGATCGTGTTGCGGTGTTCCCTGAAGCCATAGACTTTCTGCAGCTCTGTGGCTTTGAGAAGGACGCACAGGGGGAGCACTTGGTGATGCCGGCAGAGAAGGCAATTCCGGAATTCCTCAACGTAGCGGGGCAAGAGCTGCACACTGCCATCTCCAATCCCTTCTTTGGCGTGCTCTAGACACGTCCACTGCCACCCAGGTTACTACACTCTTCCATCAGCCCTTGGAGAATTTCGTGTTTCGTCAGCCCTTGGACAATTTCGTGTAAAATGCAAGGATGACTGTATGCTTATGGTTGGTTGCATAACATGAGTATGGTTGGAGAACTCGAAAGCGTTGGCTTTGATGCGTTTTGTTAATCATATGCTATAATCACCTACTAATGCTTATATAATGGGCAAAAGTACGTCATCGATCCAAGGTTAGTTTTGTGTGAAGAAACACTAATGAGAAAACGAGGTATTCGTGGTCCGTGTACTGTCAGGAAGTTATCGGTCGCACTAGCACTAGCTGTGGAGTTGAATTGGCGGCAAAATATTTTGAAAATCATAACTGAGCCACAGAAATATCCACTTTTATTGGCTGAATTTCCGTTGGACGACTGCCCGCGACTCGTTTCTTTCCCTGCCAGAAGTGGAGGGAAGCTGCCAGCAGGGCATGCCTGCCTCCCCAACTGCACCCTGTGCCATGATGGACTTCCTTGTCATGGCAAAACTGCCCGGCCCACCACAGTCAAATGTTCATGGCCAGTCAGAGCCAGCGAAGAGGCAACGGCAAGGCTTCTGTGGCGCCAAGCCGAACGCATCTGAGCCATCCGATGCGGTCCGCGGTTCGCACCAAACTCACCAATCAGCACAATCACCAAACCATTTCCAACGGAGGCATCCAAGGGATGGCTGTTCTGGAGCGTGCAGCTGATGACTCCCCATTCATGTGCACGGCAATTTCCATGGAATGGGAAGCATGAGAGCATCGAGAGATTGCTTGTCACACACATAGCTGCTCATAATTGTAGGTGGGATCTGCAGACGGCTCTCAGCTTCAAGACAGGGAATTGCCTACGCCCTGAAGCTTTTTGGGGGCAAATCCATCGGCTTGTGAAAGTTGGTTCGATTAGTCGTTTATAGGAATAAGGGATCTCGCATGTGCCGCTGGTTCCGCCATCAACTGCTGCATGACTCCCAGCGGATCACCTTGCGGGATTAATGAATGCTTTTAAAGCACTCGTCTGAAAGCGTACACTCTGTCGTGAAGAGCGCGTGAGTTACGGCGCCGCGACGCCATGAATCAGTATCACATCTACGACCAGATCGGCAAGGGACGCCACTCGGTAAGCTCCCGTTGCTACCACCTCACCGTAACTTCACCTCAGCCCCCTCCCGACGAAAAACCGCTGCGCTCCGACCTATCATCACAAGCATGTCATATCGCGCGGCGAACATCCGTTATTAACAGGACGTGGGTGATGTGGCATCGCTTGGCGACGCGTTCAGAGGCAGGCATGGGACGTGAACCATAACAGGCGAGACCGGGGAAGGAGACCACAGTAAATGGATTGAGTCTGCTTCCTGCAATGAAAAGGCATGTTTCCGTTTCAATCAAATCACTGGAGAGGAGGTTTCTAGTCGGTCGCAGACTGAGCTCTGATTGCCACGACGATCGCATCGCACCCGTGGACGCAAAGCCATGGTTGCCAAGCCGCACCTATGTTAACACGGCCCGTCCTACCGCAGTCAACGTATTCCTCTCGCGACTGCGCAGCGGCAGCGTGGCTTGGACAGCACATCGACGCCAAGTGCGTGCATGGCGTTGATTCTGTGTGTGTGCGTGCGCGCGTGCGTGCATGTGTGTGCGTGCATGTGTGTGTGTTGCGTGCGTGTGCGTGTGAGTGGGTGTGCGTGCACAGGTGGTGTACAAGGGCCGCAAGAAGAAGACAGTGCAGTATTTCGCCATCAAGAGCATCGAGAAGTGCGAAAAGCCCAGAGTCCTTCAAGAGGTGCGCCCTGCCGCCCGCCACACCCTTCCGTTCCCTCCCGTCACTCCCCTCTCGTGCCTCCGCTCATGCCTCTCCGCTCGCATCCCAGTTCAATTCTGCGTCATACGCTCGCGTGGTTTCTCTGCCATGTTGCTCGCTCATATGCTCTTCTATTGCATGCGGCCGTGTGCTTGAAGTTCGATGCTCAATGCTCAGTGCTGCATGTTGCACGTTGTTCACGCTGACCGTGGTGTGTGCGCGCGTGCAGGTGCGCACGTTCCACACGTTGGACCACGACAACGTCCTCAAGTTCCACGCCTGGTCAGTCCGCGCTCATGCCAATCCGCCGCCCGCTCGCTCGCACCTCTGCCCTCCCTCCTCGCCGGAATGCTCGCAGCACGCCGTGCTCTTGCCCCCCTGCTCTTCGACTCGTCCCTCGCCCCTCCCTTGCTGACGTATCCCCACCTGCTGCGTGCTGTGGCTCGCCTTCTCGTCATGCTGTTGAATGTATGATGTGGGCGTGTGGCTGTGTCGTGTGTTTGAGTGTGTGCGTGCGTGCGCGCGCGCGTGTGGTGGCAGGTACGAGACAGCCAACCATCTGTGGCTTATTCTGGAGTACTGTGTGGGCGGCGATCTTCTTGCCCTGCTACGACAGGTATGCCCTTCCCTACTCCACCACTATCCCCCCCCCACACTCCCCCTCTCTCGCTCTCCCACTACCACTCCCCCTCTCTCACTCCCCCACTACCACTCTCCCTCCTAATTCCCCCTCTCCCACTCTCTCCGTTCGCCACCCCTCTCCTACTCTCCCCTCTTCCACTCCCCCCTCCCACTCTCCCCGTTCCCACTCTCTCAATTCCGCCAGTCGTCATATTGCCTTGCTTCTGCGGCACGTCCTAAGCTTCCCCGCTCCCACTTTTCCTCCTCCTTGTCGCGCTCATCCCACACTCCGACCACCACGTAGACCAACTCATTCGTCTTCCCGTGCCCCTCGTCCCCGCCTCTCCCCCTTCACTGTACCTGTACTGCGTGCTGGTGCCTGGCAGGACTCGAAGCTACCGGAGGAGTCCATTCATGACTTCGGCCGTGACTGCGCGCAGGCCCTGCAGTGAGCCCCTCCCCTCTGCCTGCCCTGCTCCCCGTTCCCTTGCACCGTCCCTTCCAAACCCACGCGCATCTAATTTGCACCTGTCGCAGCACAGCCGTCCCTGCGCTGCAATCACGTGTGTGCTACTGTGCGACTGAGTTTGTGACTGTGCGTGGGTGCGCGTGCGGCCAGGTTCCTGCATTCCAACAGCATCATCTATGCGGATTTCAAGCCGTCCAACGTGCTGCTCGATGAGAACGGCCGACCCAAGGTACTCCTGCGCGCATCATGCATGCGCGCACTCTGACCTTGCTCCGCTTCGCTTGCAACGCTTTCTTCGAGTTTCCAAGTCCTTGCATCCCTCACTCCGCCTCTGACCCGCTTCTCCTTCGCGCTCCCCCCTCCCTTCCCTGCCCTCCCTCTGTGTCCGCACCTCTGCCTGCGCTTTTCAGCTGTGTGACTTCGGCCTTGCGAGGCGTCTCACGGACATAGCCAAGGGCTCCCAAGCCCAGGTCAGTTCTTGCGCGCTGCTGCGCTAGCTCTTCTGCTGCTTGGCTGCTTGGCTGTGGCGCTGCGCTGCTGCTATGCTGCCCCTGCTGAACCGTACACCACTCTTCTGTCACTTCACCCCCTGTCTTCCATTCTCAACCCACTCCCCTTCCCCGTCTCACTCATCCTTTGTCTCGCACTGCGTCCCTCCCTCCTCCCCGCGTGCTACCGCTCCCCCACCTTCCCCCACCTTCTCCAACCTTTCCCCCATCTCCCCGACCCCCCGTTCCCCCCATCCAGGCGCCGGTGCCCAAGCGCGGAACGCCATGCTACATGGCGCCGGAGCTGCTGCAGGAAGGCGGGGTGCTGTCGTTCGCATCCGACCTGTGGGCGCTGGGGTGCGTCATGTACGAGTGCTACGCCGGCCACCCGCCCTTCCACTCCCCCACCTTCTCCGCGCTCGTCTCCGCCATCCTCACGGAGCCCCCCCCGCCCCTGCCCGGGACCCCCTCGGTGGAGTTTCAGGACCTTGTGATGCGGCTGTTGGATAAGAATCCTGGGACAAGGATGGGGTGGGAGGAGCTTAGGGAGCATCCCTTCTGGCAGTCGCCTATCAAGGCGCTGCCGCTGCCGCCGCAACCGGCGCTGAAGAACTTTCTCCGCGCGCAGGCGCAGGCGGAAGCAGAGGCGCAAGCGCTAGCGCAGGCGCAAGCGGCAGGGCGGAATGGGGGGGGCAGAGGAACGGGGGAAGGGCGGGAGGTGAGCGGGTCGGGCGAGCGGGAAGGGCGCGTGGCGCTAGGGGACGTGGCGGCTGCGTGCGGAAATGCGGGTGATGGGGGGCTGGGGGGGAGCGCGGAGGGAAGACGAGACGTCTTGGCCGGGGGAGGGAACGGCAGCAAAGGCGGTAATGGTGGGGAGAACGGCGGGGATGGGAGGGGAGCGGCATCTCCAGTTGCAGCAGCAGCAACAGCAGTGCAAGCAGCAGCGGTAGCACCAGCAACACCCGGAACACCAGCGGCAAGTGCTGGCGGAGCAGCGGTGTCGGCGGAAGTAGTGGCGGCGAGCGTGCTGCGGCTGTCGCGCATCGTGCGCAGCAACCTGCAGAAGGACGCGGAGGGGGGCGAGGGCGCGGGCGGGAGTTACAGGCACGGCGGAGGGCTGAAGGCGGGGAGTCGGGAGGAGGTGCTTTTAGCGAGTCACGACATGGAAGTGGATTTGGAAGAACGGGGCCATGGCGCGGAGCGGGAGCGCGGCGCTCATATCGAGGATGCTGGCGTGGAGAGCGGCGAGGAGGGCGCGAGCAGCGGAGGGGAGGAGGCTGGGGTGGGGCGCGCGCGGAAGCGGGGAACTCATGCGCGCGGGAGTTCGGATGTGGACGATGAGGGTGAAGGGGAGGTTGCGAGAGGGAAAGGGGAGGAGGAGGATGAGGGTGAGGAGGACGAGGCTCCGGCACGCATGACAGCAGCAGCAGGAGCTGCAGCAGGAACAGGAGCAGGGGCAGGGGCAGCACTGCCGCCAGCCCCAGCGGCGACAGGCGCAGCAGTGGCAGCGGCGACAGCGACAACGACGACGACCACGACTAGCATGACGACGACGAGCATGACGGGCGGTAGCGTCACCTCCGAGGAGATCGAGCTGGACCTCAGCAGCGGCGCCGCCACGCCCCTGCACCCCTCCTCCGCGCGCCACCCCAGGGATGCGCGCAAGGGCGCGGGGGGGAGAGACGGGGGGAGGGACGGGGCGAGGGAGGGAAGGATGCGGGACGGTGAGGAGGAGGAGGTGGTGGGGGGGTTGGTGGCGGAAGGGAGTGGAGAGGGAGAGGGTGAGGAGCAGCAGGTGCGCGGGGGAGGGGAGGAGAAGCGCGGGGATGGGAGGGATGTGGTGGAGGGAGGCGCGCATGCGGAGGGCGAGGGCGCGCAGCAGGCGGGAGCTGCGGAAGGGCGAAGAGAGCAGGGGGGCAAGGCGGCAACAGAGGGGAGAGGAGGCCGCGGAAGTGAGGGAGTGGGGCGGGCAGCCGAGGGGCCGGCAGCAGCAGCGGGTGCAGCAGCAGCAGCAGGCGCAGGAGCAGGTGCAACGGCGGGTGCAGGCGCAGCAGGAGCAGAGGCGGAGAAGGGGTTGTCAGCGGTGGACGTGATGTGGCACGCGTCCGACGTGGCAGTGAAGCCCATCGTGCTGAACCGGCGCATAGAGAAGCTCCCCGAGCCCGCATTCGACGCGCGCCACCTCCCCATGGACCCGCTCGCCCCCGCCGACCTCGTCAAGCTGGCGGGCGGAAGCGCCGCCGCGGAGGGGCAGCAGCAGCGCGGGAGCAGCAGCGCGGCGGACGCAATGCTGGGGCGGCTGGTGGGGGTAATGTCCGGGAGCTTCTCCCTAGCGGATAAGCTAAACGTGCTCAAGTACGTGGAGTCTTTGGCGTACGATCCTGACGCGGCGAATGTGGTGATCAACAGCCCGCTCATGGTGTGCCTCGTGAAGTTCCTGCGCAACTGCAAGGTGCCTGCGCTGCGCGTGGAGCTCTGCACGGCCATAGGGCTGCTCGTGCGCCACGCCACGGCTATCCGGCGGGAGCTCGCGGCGAGCGGGCTGGTGGGGGTGCTGGCGGAGTGCCTGCGCGACAAGCAGGAGAAGGTGCGCCGGCGTGCCATGGCTGCGCTGGGGGAAATGGCGTTTTACATCGCCACGCAGAGCCCCACTCCTGCCGCTGCTGCCGCCGCTGCTGCTCCGTCCCCTGCGAGCGGGTTAGTGGTGGGCGCGGCAGCGGGGGGAGGGGGGTGGCAGCTGACAGGCACAACGGTGACGCCAATCATGGCGATGCTGCGGCGAGGGGAGGACGAGGTGACCATGCACTACGCCGTGAAGACCATTGAGAACATTGTCAGCGAGGGCCCCGCGTGGGCGGCGCGCTTTGCCACGCAGGAGACGGTGGGGAACCTGTGCCATATCTTCCGGAACAGCTCGTCGCGGCAGGAGCACCTGAAGCTCACTGCCGGGTCGTGCCTCGTGCGTATCCTGCGCTTCGCCCCCTCGTGGGTGGCGCTCGTGTTGGACCGTATCGGCCCTAAAGAGGTGGTTACAGCGCTGGCGAAAGCGGCTCCCAGGGAGCAGCAGCTGCTGCTGAGTCTTGTGAATGTGGCGCTTGCTGCTGCTGCAGCAGGGCAGCTGCCTGCACGGCAAATGGCAGCGTTGACGGAGGACAAGGGGGGTCTGCCTGCAGTGGCCGTGGGGCTGCTGCTGCAGGAGCAAGCCACGGAGGTGCTGCGGGGCAAGGCTCTGTGTTGTGTTGCGCTGCTGCTGCGCACCAACTGGCGCCTGCTCGTACCGTTCTGCACCACGCACAAGCTGGTGCCGGCGCTGGAGCGCGTGAGGAGGGAGGCGAAGCCGGGCGGCAAGGAGGAGGCGTTTGTGGGCATGTGTGTGGATGCAGGGGTGCGTGCGGTGGGAGCGGCAGCGGCACAGCTCATGGCTCAGATTCCACAAGACGTGTCCGTGCTTGTGGCTGCTGTCGCTGCCACTACCTCCGCCTCTGCTAGCTCTCCCATCCCCTCTGGTGCCCTTGCTGCTCCGTCCCCTTCTGCCGGGTCCCTGTCTCGCAAAGCAGGCGCCGCTGCCGCCGCAGCTGCTGCTGCTGTTGCTGCGGTTGCTGCTGCAACGAGGACAGGCAGTGGCGGGGGGGCAGGGGATTCGTCCCCGCATACGACTCAGCAGGCGGCGATGCAGCAGCAGGCGTTGCAGGCGAGCATAGTGGACATGTTTTCGGTGGTGGTGACGATAATGACGAGCCCACTGCTGCGACCACTCATTGTGGAGGCAGTGCTGCTGCAGCAGCTCACTGACTGCCTCTCCCTCTGCCTCGCCAGCTCTGCATCACTTTACGTGAGTCCCTCTGGTTCACGCCCGATGCTTTACACCTTGTGCTCCACACTCTCTGCGCCAGAGTGTGTACACGTGATTCTTCTCTCGGCCTTCCCTCTTGACCCATCTTGCATCACCCATAATCCCTCCTCTCCGCCACCCCCCTCTCTTCCACCCTTCCACTCCTCCCCCCCTCCCACCCACACAGCCATTGGAGCAGCTACTAGCAGCGGTGCTGCAGGCAGTAGAGGCGCTGTGCCAGCAGCCGCAGCAGTTGCTGCAGCACACAGCAGCTCTCGCCAGTGGCCTGCTACCCGCCCTCGCACAGCTCTACTCCAAGGCACCAGCAGGCGAGACGCGGTTCATGTGCATCAAGGTCATGGGCGACCTGTTCGCCCTGCTGCTGGACCACCTCACTGCTCTCAGGCAGCAAGGGCGCGCGCAGCAGGAGGGAGAAGGCGAAGGGGAAGGGGAGGAGGAAGGGGAGAGGGAGAGGGTGAAGGTGGAGTGTGAGGCGGCACGGGCGGTGGTACAGGAGCTGGTGTGCAGCGAGGTGCTGCCACTGTATGGTTCCCTCATGACAGACGATGAGCCTGTGCCCACGTTCGCCCAGAAGCTTCTCGTGAACTTCCTGGACCATTCGATCGTGTCAGTGGATAGTATTTTATCACTGGGGCTGGCCGCGTGCTTCTTTGAGAGGCTCGTGGGGGAGCCGGCGGCCATCAACATGCACACGCTGCGCCTGTGCCTCATTCTGGCTGCGAATCCTGCTGTGGACAAGCGTGCGTTTGCGCACCTGCACCTGGTGCCGCGCATGGGTGCGCTGCTGGAGCACGTGTGGCAGTGTGCCATGGCGGATTTTGTCGACCCTGTTGTGTCGCTATGCCTGCTCGTGCTCGAGAGGCAGGTGGCGGATAACGGCAGCGGGGAGCAGGAGGGCGGGGCGGGAGAGGAGGAGGTGGAGCAGTTGGCAGAGTTCACACGCGTGTTTGTGCACCTCTGTGCGGACCCAGACCCGGTTGTCGCAGACATTGCTTCAGACTGCCTCTCTCTCCTACTCCATGCCGTTCCGGACCATGTAGGGCTCGCCCTTGCGCCGCACATCCCTGACGTTACCACGGTTCTCGCCAGCACGGTGCAGCAGCTGCAGGAGCTGGAGCAGCAGCAGCAGGAGGGTGGGGGCGAGGCGGGGGAGGAGGCCGGTGGGGCAGAGCTTGCATTAAAGGTGCAGGTGCTGCTGTTGAGAGCAGCGGGGTGCACGTGCAAGGAGTTGAGAACGGCGATAGTGAGGAGACGGGAAGAGGTGGCAGCGCCTGTGGCGGAGCTGCAGCAGCTGCTGGGGCTGGCGAGTGCGGTGGCGAGGAGCAGTGCGGTGGAGGAGGTGGTGGAGGCTGCATCGTCTACTGCCACGGACGTGCAGAGACTGCTGCGCTGCTGCTCCTGACTGCCTACCCTCGTGCCAGCACCTTGCAAGCGACCCTTTTAGGTACTGTGTTCCATCCTCTGCCTATGCTGTCATCATCATTCTCAGTCTTCCTGCTTGTTCTGCCCTGTTGCAACGTCCCATTTTCTCTGTTTTTCTTTCTCATTCTGTCATACCTCCCTGTGCTTGTTGCTTCTTGCTGCTTCTCCTGCCTGCAGGCGTTCACTGGCTCCTGCAGACCTGTCAAGCCTGCGAGCTGCCTGAGGAGGAAGGACCTGTTGCATGGAACTCCAGTAGTTTACCGGTACCCTTCATGAATCCACAGCACATGCCATGTCCACTACCTGTGGGCAGGTGAATCATCAGCTACAGGCTATATCTCTTATAGTAATCTCGCGCTGTCGTGCAACTGCTTACCCCTCTGTGTTTTCCTCTTCCTCTACTCTCCCTCACCACCTGCACCAGCCTCCATTTCAAGGAGGCAAACTCTCTTTCTCGTCCTTTGCTCCTCCGTCTCCCTAACATACCTTCCAGTGGCTGTTAAAGTTGGAACAGAATCATCGGTTTCCAATGTGATTCCTAAGTTATGATTTCACTAGTTATAATCATACTACCATATAGATGTCATACGGTACTAGTACTCGTCCGATAATTCTTTACAACCAAAGAGAAGAACTGAGGGGAACCCCAGAGAACCCAAAAGAACCGAAGGGGGAACCCACAAGAACCCAATAAAACCCACGAGAAACCAAGAGAACCGAAAAGAGATCCCTAGGGAACCCAAGGGGCAAAGCCACGGGGACCCACGGTCCGCCCACGGGGTCTCACGGGAGAACAAGGGAGCATGGGAGAACACAGGAGCACAGGACTGGGAACACGAAACTGGGAACACATGAGTCTACATGGTCTGAGTGCTGAATCAATCAGGCGAATGGCTGCCATTGGGTCCTCTTGGGGTCGTGCACGATGATTGGTTGGCAGCACAAAACAGGAATGCACTGCAACCAGTTGTCAATACTGTACATGCAATGTAACATTCAAGACAGGACAGATGCATGCTGTGGAGAGTGAGTCACGGCACAGGAGGGACATGCCCTTGGGAGAGAGACCACTGACTTGTTGCATTAGGCCTATCTACGCAGTTCAATGCTCTTGGTTGAAGCCTGCTTTGACCAAGCATGTGCTACAGCACTACAGAACACACATCCACCGGGCTTGATTCTTGTGGAGGAATGAAGAGCGTGGAGGGTTGAAGGTGCGTCAATCAATAACCGAGCAGTGGGAGTGGCAGAGAGTTGAATCGGTCGACAGCAGCAGGAGTGAGGCCCGAGAGGAAGAGGAAGCACTTTGCGGGGCGGGAATCCACGATGCAGCGCCGCACAGATGTATGCTGATGGGAAGCATGCAGTGCACAAGCAGCGACAGGGAGGTGGGTGCACAGGGGAGGGACGGGTGGACATGACGGGGGGGAGGAGAGGAGAGGGAGGAAGAGGGAGGGATGAGATGGGAGGATGCAACTAGCAGGCACTGATCATCGCATCAAAGGTTTGGCTTGGACGTGGCAAATGGGCGAAAGTGATGCATGTTTTTGGATATGAGTCAGTGCATGTGCATGTGTATGTGCATGTGCAGAAACAAAGAGGCGAGTGCCTGGGGACAGTGGGACACAGGAGTGATATGGTGGCAGCAATGAGGCCGCAGGGGGAACTTACACTGGCTTGACTCGTTGTGTAGTAGTGATTCGCTTCCTGCAGTGGCGCACATGGGGGGCACATGGGGGGGCGCATGGGGGAGCACATGGGGCACAAGCGACACACAGGAGAAATGTATATGGGGACATGGGAAAACACATGGGGGGACACATGGGGGAAACTTATGGGGGAACAACAGAGGGCGAGCGTTGGCACAGTAGACTGGCTCACGTGGTGCATACCAGGCCTGTGAATGCCTGTCTGCATGCATGCAGTCAGCATGGGGTTATTTGGTGTGCGAAGAATAAGTTTGCGGGTAGGATTTAACATGCGGTGTGGAGGAGAGAACGGCTGGTGAGTTGAGAGCTGGGCGGGGCTTACTTGCACGTTGTGCAGGAGGAGGGAGGAGATGCGCGAGGGGGTGAGGGTGGGTGGAGCAAGGAGGTGAGAGGAGGGTGAGTGTGCGTAGATGACTGATCTATTAGCCACCCTGTCCGGCCATGTCACCTGCACACACCCAGCAATGGCAGGCAAGGCGCAAACGGACGAGATGATAATGGGGCAAGGGAAAAATGTGAGCAGCGTGAGACACGAGGATGAATCAGCAGAGTGAGGCATTAGATTGAATTCAGAAAGGAATCTGTAAGAGTGGTGGTAGGAGGAGCAGGAGGGGGGCTTACTCGTAGGAGAGTGGGGACGTAGTGATGGGCGGGGTTGCAGTGGTGGTGCCAGCGGTCGTTCTGAGACGGGGCAGGCAGGGACGATGAAAGGGCGAGATCGCGCACGAGTGGGATGATTGAAAGGGAGAGGCAGGCGTAAACATGGGATATGGCAGCAGCAAGCCATGTGGGAGTGACTGTCAACGACTGGTGCACTAGTGCATGAGAGAACGAGCACAAGGAGTCATATCACTGTGCAATATGAGAGGGCGGGAAAGAGAGGGTGCGATGATGTTGTGGCATGGCAAGTTGGCAACCTCACGATGGTTAAGAGAACATGACAGGAGAACACATGGGAGAGTGGTTAGCTCCAACACACACTGTGCCACGGAGTGCTGATGGCACGCATGGTGCAACAATGCAGTGAGTGTGTGCGCGCGCGCACGCGTGTGCATGCGTGTGTGTGTGTGAGGGAGGGAGAGCGAGGGAGGCGGCGTCGGACCTGGCAGAAGGCAGCGAACTTGGCGTAGACTGCCCGGTCCTCCACTATGGCGTATGCATGGCGCCGCGTGATCGCCATCCACTGATGGGGGCGGACGATGGAAGGGAGGGAGGGAGGGAGGGAGATGGGGAGAAAGGTGGAAGTATGGAGTTGTGAGAGGAGGAGGCTGGATGTTTGTGTGTGAGTGAGAGGTGTGAAGGAAAAACGAGGAGGAAATGGAGAAGGGGAGTAGTAAGCAGCGGAGATGGAGCAGGAACAATGCAAAACAATGGGGCCTCGGGAATGGCTTGGGGCATGGGGCATGGGACATAGGGCATGGAGCATGGGGAACGGGGCATGGGGAACGGGGCATGGGGAACGGGGCATGGGGCATGGCGTGTGCGAGGGAGCAGGGAGAACCTGTGAGCCGGCGGTGAATTGGAGGGGGCGGACGTCAGGAGCCATGTGCGGGGAGTAGGCGGATGGGGAGGGCTCTGGGTCGGAGCTGCAGGGCGGGGCGAGGGAAGGTGGCGCGGAGAGAGAGGGGCGAGGGGAGAGAGAGGGGCGGGGGGAGAGAGAGGGGCGAGGGGAGAGAGAGGGGCGGGGGGGAGAGAGAGGCGTGTACACACAGGATGAGAGAGGAAGATGCCTGAATAGAGGAACAACGGAAAGCAGGTCTAGAAAACAAAATGTTGAGTGAGGGCTAGAATCAGCAACAGAAGAACAGAGGGGGGAGAGAGAAAGCAATGGGGCAAATGGAGCTGCCATGGCATGTGGGGAATGGTGCGCAGTGGATGAGGAGGGGAGGTGCTGGGAGAGTGACCTGTGGAGGTAGGCGAGGGGCGAGGCCATGAGGTAGCGCCACACCGTGGTGAAGTTGCGCACTGGCACACAGCTGATGGGGGGGCGCGGGGAGGAGGGGAGGGGGAGGGGGAGGGGGAGGGGGAGGGGGAGGGGGAGGGGGAGGGGGAGGGGGAGGGGGAGGGGGAGGGGGAGGGGGAGGGGGAGGGGGAGGGGGAGGGGGAGGGGGAGGGGGAGGGGGAGGGGTAGGGGTAGGGGGAGAGGAGGGATGCGGGAGAAGAGCAGCACACAGGAGCGTGCACGGGGGAGAGGGGAAGAGGGAGGGGGGGGGGAAACGTGAGGGAGGAGGACGCGAGGCCAGGTAAGCGCATGGAACGGTGGGGAGGACGCGGTCTAGGGGAGGAGGAAGGGAAGAGGTGGGGGGGGCAGTTGGTGGGGGTGCTGGGGGAGAGAGCGGAAGAGAATGTGGAGATAAGAAAGTTGGGTGGAGGTTGAGAGCTTACGAGGGGGAGAGGATGAGGAAGCGGAAGTTGCGAGGGTTAGCAAGAGCGGGGGCTAGGAGCCTCCTCAACGCATCCACTGCCGTGATGTCCCCCTCCCTGTACTGCTCATGCTCACATGCACGTGCACACACAGACACACACACAAAGACATGCACCCACAGACACGCATGTTCCACACGAGAACGAGCGCGTTTAAGATGTTCGCACAAATAAGCTCATCCCCCCATTCCCTTTCCCTCCTCTCGACAAATGCAGCCGGCCAAGCATGCTTGATTGGGTCGGCTCAAAGCATCCGCACGCATGCACCCCATGCACACACACGCATGCAGCGCACGCACCTGGTGAGCGCGCACGCACCTGGTGAGCGCGCACGAGGGAGTCATTAAAGAAGAGCGTCTGTGAGTGCACACCCGGGTGCGCGTGCACGTACACGTTGTACTTCCCCTCGTGGCCCTGCCCGCCCGCACACCCATGCCCCCCGGCGATGGCGATGGAGAGGAGCGGGAGAGGGGGGAAACGGGAGAGGCGAAAAGGGGGAAGAAAGGGGGGAGACAAGGGACGGTTGAGTGCATCACACGACAGGAAGGACGAAGGGGGGGCAAGACGGCACACGGGGCAGGAGAACAGAACGCGGTTACACGCAAGAGAGTGTTTCTAAGGCGCCTCATGAAATGGACCCCGATACACAACGAGCGAGCGGTAGCCTATAGGGAAGGGGGACGAAGGACGAGGTGAGAGGGAAGATGCGTGAGGGGTCGGGAAAAGGGGAGAGGGAAGAGCACAGAACCAGGGATGGGTAATGGTGATGGGGCTGAGTGCGAGGGGATGGGAGTCCCGGGCCTGGGCATACCTCGAAGAACCGGTTCCAAACAGCTGGGGACGGCAGGGCAGCATTGGGCGGGGCGAGGAAGAGGAATGCGATAGCAGGGTCCGTCACGCCTAGTGAGATCTGCTCCCTCTCCGCCTTCTTCCCCCGCACCAGCGCCAGCAGCACCTCGTCCTCCGCGGATACTCTGTGCGCCTTTACTGCCGCCAGGGGCGCGCCCGCCGCCCTCTCCCGCGCGCTGCACGCAACTGTGCGCTCCGCGGACGCGGAACGCGCGCTGCTTGATGCGCCGTTGGCGGGGTGCGCGCCGGGGAGGGCACCACCTTCTGCGAAATCTCCCCCGTCTGCCCCGATGCGCGCGATTGAGTCTGCGCTTGCGCCGAAACCGGCGGAAGACCCAGGCGATGCGGAAGAGGATCCCAGCGATCCGGATGCCGCCGCCGCCGCAGCCGCCGCGGCAGTGGCGGAAGGGGATGCGAGGCTGGCTTGCGACTCAGGTGCGCGGGCGGCAGCATCCGTGCATTCCAGCGTGGCGGCTTCCGCAAGGCGCTGCCCCAGCGCCGTCACGCGGAACAGACTCAGCAGTAAGCGCACCTCGGCAGACGCCGCTGCTGCCGCCGCGGAAGCTTTCGCTTGCGCGCTTCGCGTCAGTCCCCACCAGCCCCTACCCGCGGAAGGAGTCCCAGGCCCGTCGTCCCCTTCATCCCCGCTAAAAGCAGATCTGTTACTACCGGCACCGTCTGCCGGGCTCTGTTCTCGATTCCAGTCCGCCGCTGTCGAGCCGTACGGCGGTTCGGGTTCGCTGAAACGAAGGCGGCGCGGCGAGAGTGAGCCGCTGGTGGAGCACGCGAGAATCAGGGAAACCGTGACGCCCGCAATGGCGATTACTAGAACGAGAGCTATGGCGGCTCGGCGGTTCGAGCGACTGCTCTTATCGTCACTGTTATCGCGAGAGGGCGCGCGGGAAGGGGAGACGGTGGAGGAGGAGGAGCCGACGGCAGAAAGGGAGGAGAGAGAGGAGCGAGGGGAGCGGGAGGTTAGAGGAGCGGCGGAGGGGAGGCGGTGGTCGAAGATGAGCTCGATATCGGCGATCAGGCGCTGCAGGGGGAGGAGAAGCGCCGATAGCGCCATCCTGCGCCGCCGCGCCTGTCAATGCGCCGGTGGCGCAAGCGCGCGCGCACGGCGCGTGAGTCGAGTCCGAACAGCTTCCGCGTTGCACGCACTCGCAAGTCCAGGCAATTCTCGGGAATTTCTAAAGCGTAGCCTGAATACGCGCGGGCCTGCGCGCGATGAATGGCGAAGGAGAGAACAAGCGGCGGCAGCGCGGAGAGAGGAGGAGAGAGGAAGGAAAGGAGAGCGAGGAGAGAAAGAGCAGAAAGACATCTACTTCCAAACAGGATTCAACGGCGTTCGTCCATCCCGAATCCTCCAGGACATAAATAGCAGAGAACCTCTAAATAACATCTTGGTATTGGGACAGTGCGACCGTGGGATCGGATCGGCCGTGCCGCGCGGAGGAACAACGCGAGTAGACTAGCTGGGCCTGCACTCCATCCAACGGCGAATCAAATCGGGCAAGCACATCCGCGAGAGCCGGTAGATCTGATGTACAGGTAAGAAGGATGGAGTGGAATGTACTAATGGCAGGCGGTATTCGCATGCGGTGGGATGAGGTGACGTCACAGCAGGCAAGAGTCTACTGTAGTGTACGAAAACTGCAGCCTCGGGATTGGTTTGTCTGAACTATGGATGGAGCTCGGTGGGACAGGCACGCGTGCGCATCACGCTGCGCTCTGTCTCCTCTCTGGCGTTCTTTCTCTCCCTTCCCTTCCACATTTGGAATTAGCCTGGCACCCTGTGTTCCCCCCACCCACCTCCTCCGTCAGTCTCGAGTCTTTCAAAGGTGGGTTGGTTCTGTTCACATCACCACATTACTGGAACGTACATATATTTAATGCTAGGAATAATACAAGTAACCTATCTGCACTATCTACATAAACTCACTGCCTGCACATTCTAGGCAAACCAAGCAGCCTACAGTACGATTAAGAAAAAAAAAACCGTTTTTACTACAGTCCTGCAACCAACTAAAACCCAACCCAACCTGCAACCAACTCATAACTTACACATCTACAACCCCACTACTTGACCCCCAGCTCACCCCTAATCTTGTTCACAAAGAGTCCCTTGCTCTTCATGTTGGTGGGTAACCACCCCATGAATGTGCCAAAGGGCATCTGGGCAAGGCCCTGTTTCCGGCCCAGAGACACAATAGCCACATCCATACCCGGGGAATAAGACTTGAGTGCTGCGGGCTTGCCATTGCTCCTGAGCACTTTGCGAATGTTGGATGCCACCACACGGGCATGCTCCTGTGCAAAGTACCCTTGCTTGTTCTCCTGCGCGTGGTGGGAAGAGACGAGGCAAGGAAGCAGAGGGGGTAAGGGCCCGCATGCTGAGGCATGGCAATGCATGTGAGCATGGCAGTGATAGGAACGAGGGCCAGGAGAAGGAAGAGTACCTTTATGTTGGTGATGTCGCCGATGGCAAAGACGTTGGAATGGCCCTCCACACGCAGGTGCGAGTCCACCTTCACACGCCCATCCTCCACTGCTGCGCCTAGTGCGTCTGCTCACATGCAACAAACAGCCCACACAACAACACATACAGTGCTCAGATACGACACACACACCACCGCCAAGAGGACAAGGCACGGCAAGAGGCGACTCTGCAGTGCACAAGAATATGGTCAAACGCACAAGCGCACACTGTCAAGCGCAAGAGAAGCAAACCAGGCAGCGTCAATCCACACACAACAGCACCTTCCCACTCCCTTTCCCCAACCTACTTCCACCCCCTCGTATTCCCACACAATGGCCTGGTCTAACCTGTGAGCCAGGCGGTGTGAGGGCGCGCGCCCACAGCGATGGCCACATAGTCCGCGGTCAGCTCCTTGCCCGCGTCCGTCTTGAGCGTGCCGCTGCTGCCGAATTGATCTGCGCTCCACCATCAACACGGGACACGGAACAAGGACGAGGATGGTGACGCCTGGAAGCAAGAACAAAGCTGCCTGCACAACGCGGACTGCAAGCACACTGAGCGCCCTCAACGCGCTATCCCCTCAATGCCTCCTCCCTCCTCACTCCTCACACATCACTCATCACGCCCGTCAGTCCCCTCAGCGCCACTGAGCGGCGGCATCAGCTGTGGCACTCACCCCAGGAGGCCTGCACGCGGTCGCCCAGCAGCACGTCGACGCCCTGCCCCTTGAGCCACGCCAGGATCTTATCGCTGCCATTGGGCTTCAGGAACTCGCACACGCGCGCTCCGCCGTGCGCGACCGTGATCTTCTTGCCCGGCATGTCCGTGAGCACCTCCGCCGCGAGCTCCACGCCCGCCGGCCCTCCGCCCACCACCAGCACGCTCTTCGCCGCCTTCAGCTTCTCGTTCTCTGCTCTTGCATGCCACAACCGCGCGGCCGCGTGGGTGGGAGGGAGGGAGGGAACACGGAACCAAGGAAAAGAGGGACCGGGGTAAGGAAATGGGGCCGGCACGGGCAGCAAGCCGAGCGTCGTAGCTACACTCGTCTACCGCACGAGCAAACACTCATTCCACCGACGTTATCAAACCCCTATACAAAAGCCTCTACAACTAGCAAACTCGTTTGGTTTCCCAAACCCGACCTCCTGGCACACAGCGCCGGTGAGGCGGGGACGGCACAGACACACCTTGCGCGTAGAACTTGAGGCGGTCGTCGCGGGTGGTGGTGGTGTAGGGCTCGGAGCCCGTGCAGATCACCAGCACGTCGTACGGCACCGCCGTGCCGTCCGCTAGCAGCACCTCGCCGCCTGCTGCCGCTGGCTTCGCGCTCTCCTTAACGGCCTCCTCTTTCTTCGCACTCTCCTTCGCCTCCTCCTTCGTCTCTTCCTTAGCCTCCTCCTTAGTCTCCTCCTTAGTCTCTTCCTTAGTCTCTTCCTTAGCCTCCTCCTTAGTCTCCTCCTTAGTCTCTTCTTTAGCCTCTTCCTTAGCCTCTTCCTTAGCCTCTTCCTTAGCATCCTCCTTAGTCTCCTCCTTAGCCTCTTCCTTAGTCTCCTCCTTAGCCTCTTCCTTAGTCTCCTCCTTAGCCTCTTCCTTAGTCTCTTCCTTAGCCTCTTCCTTTACCTCTTCTTTAGCCTCCTCCTTAGCCTCTTCCGTAGCCTCTTCCGCCTTAGCCTCTTCCTTAATCTCTTCCGCAGTCTCCTCCTTAGCCTCTTCCTTATCTTCCTCCTTATCTTCCTCCTTAGTCTCCTCCGTCTCTTCCTTAGCCTCTTCCTTAGCCTCCTCCTTAGCCTCCTCCTTAGCCTCCTCCTTAGCCTCCTCCTTAGCCTCCTCCTTAGCCTCCTCCTTAGCCTCCTCCTTAGCCTCCTCCTTAGCCTCCTCCTTAGCCTCCTCCTTAGCCTCCTCCTTAGCCTCCTCCTTAGCCTCCTCCTTAGCCTCCTCCTTAGCCTCCTCCTTAGCCTCCTCCTTAGCCTCCTCCTTAGCCTCCTCCTTAGCCTCCTCCTTAGCCTCTTCCTTAGCCTCTTCCTTAGCCTCTTCCTTAGCCTCTTCCTTAGCCTCTTCCTTAGCCTCTTCCTTGGGCTCTGTTTCAGTCGCGGGAGCCGCCGCCTCTGTCTTCTCGTCGGTGCTCGCCTCCTTCGTGTCGGCGTCCGCCTTAGCGGGTGCCGGCGCGGCGGCGAGAGAGAGCCCGGTGATGAGCGCGGTGAGGGCCTTGGCCTTGTGCAGGTACGCCGTGTGCGGGATGACGATCTTCTCAGCCAGCGATGGGTCCACGAAGGCGCGTGGCGTGGCCCAGCGCACTTCCATGTAGTCCTTGCTGCGGCGCCACGGGACAGGGGGAGGGACGGGAGAACATGGTACAAATTGCTTTTCCAAAGATGGCAGAATGACGCGGAAGAAGAGCGCTAGTGAGCATGCGGGCTAAAAGTCGGCGCAGCAATTTTGCAGGAGCTAAACGGGCGAAAAGGTCGGTCAAATGCTTTCTTGAGAAGCCAGTGAGGAGGTGTTGAGGTGGGTCACCTGTCAATCAGCGTCACATCAGCGTCTTTCTCAATAAGCTTGGCTAAGAGCGACCCTGCAATGCCACCACCCGCAATCACAACGCGCTTCGCCATGACTTCCCGTCTTGTACTGGGGTTACTGGAAGCTTGGACTTTGACGTAGTTGACAGTCAAAAGGAGTAGCACGTAGATAAAACGAGGAGGTAAGTCCGGTTCAAGATGAGATAAAGGAACAAATAGGCTGAGAGCCTTTTAGACTTTGAACAGGCAAGAATTGTAGCAGCGGCGTTTGTCGTGCCAATTTCTTGTGAGTTCGAGTCCCGTGGTTTGCTGTGCCAATCACCTTCTACCTTGGGAATGTATCTGGGACTGTGGCAACTCGTGCCTTCACCTTTCTTCTAGAAACTAGGATGAACTTCTTTGCTCCAGCTCGCAAGCATTCTCAAGGGGTGCTTGCGCAATTTTCAGTGGGCAGCCCACCTCAGCAGCGCGCAAGAGGGGCGATGGGGTGGGAGCAAAGTGGGGTTTCCAATGCCGGACCGCATCTGCAGATTGTTCGATGAAATCAAGGCGCATGTCCGGGACCTACAGTGTTGCGGTCCGGAAGTCCATACAGTTTATTTTCCAGCAAATGACTGTATTTTGCCTGCCCAGAGATTTTTGTAATAAAAAGTGACACGGCTCTTACACCCTGTGCCTGTGCTCGGTGGAAGCGGTGCGAGCTGGGCACCGTGATATGGAGTCCATGGACCACTGCCAAGTGGGTGCCACGTACTCTGCCATCCCGATTCCCGCTGCTTCCCTTCCTGTCAGCTCGGCGCCCCCGAGAACTTTGGGTTCGCGCACAGGCAGAGACCTATCGAAGCCACAGGAGCCAAACTGCAGCCCATGACGGTTGTCGTGATTGCTCGTCTGTCACGAATGTTGACGCGAGCCACGCGTTCGATTCGAGGTTCCACATAATTGGCAGCTCGCAAAGCTGGGAGGAGCGGGGTTGGTTGGCTTGTGGCACACGTTGGTCGGACTCCGCTCCGACTGTTCAATCTTCGTTTCGCTAAAGCGACAGTCACACAACAAGTTAACATTCTACGCCGACAACATGCTGCTGGTGAAGAAAAATAAAAAAAAAACAAGAAAATATCAAATACGTGATTCATCGTCAACATTGCAGTCTAATCACTCACTGACAATTCACTGCAAAGGATGTCATTGGCAGACCAGACGGATAGAGCCTAAAACTGGGGAGGAACGGCAGAATGCAAGAGAGAGGTAAAATCCTTGCCCGCAAAAGGAGACGTCCACTCCTGAACATTGCTGCCTCCCGGACCTCCACTCGACTGAGAAACATCCGACCCTGCCTTCTGCTGCCATCCTGCTGTTGCCGCAGTCCGTTGCTGCTGGTCCCCTTGGGTGTCAGCTGCTGGCCCCGCCGTCTGCTGCCCAACCTCACCCGCCTCACGCTCCTCCCCACCCTGCCCCCCTCCGCCTTGCTCCACACCCTTCTGCTGCTCCTCATGCCCACCTTGCACATGCTGACCCTCTTGCCCCCCCTGAACAACTTCTGTCTTCTGCGCCTCACTCCCCCCCTCCTGCCCCTCCACTGCCTCACCAGCCTTCTTATCCCCGCCTCCACTAACCTGCTGCCCTGCCCTCGCCTCCGCAACCCCACCCGTGTGCTCCTTAGTGCCCCCTCCATCCCCTTCCTTGCTTGAATCTGACTGCCATGGCACAGGGGCGCCCTGCTGCTGCTGCTGCTGTTGCTGCTGCTGCTGCCAGGGAGTGCCCACAGAGCTTGGCACGGCAATGGCGGACCGCCCCCACAGATCATACGCCCTCACAGGCTCCGAGCTTGAAGGCATGCCCCCTGCACTGCCCCCCCCAAGACTGCCCAGAGCCCCACTGGACACGCTTTGATCAGCAAAGCCAGACGTCCCACCACCCCAGATCCCCATACCCCCTCCCAGAACCCCCCCCACACCAACTTTCCCTCCGCTGGCGTTTGCAAGGGACCCCGACACACTCCAGTCTACGGAGCGAATGCTACTGACCAGAGCTGCCGTACCTGAGCCAGTCGCCACTCCCCCAGCGGATAGCAGCCCACCTGCAGCCGCAGCCCCGGGCCTGCCAAACGCACCGCTACCTCCTGCGCCCGGCACACCAAACCCTGCCGCGCTCAGCGCCCCCGCTGCAGCAGCAGACCTTGCAGGAGCATCAGGCGCAGGAGAGAGGGTTGAGAGGGAGCCCAGTGGCGCACCGGACAGGCTCCAGTCAACAGAAGCAAGAGTGGTGGACGCGCCCCAGGGTGGAATCAGTTCAGACGACGGACCAGACGAGGCACCAGAAGCAGTGGACTCCAGGGTGACACTGCCTACACCCCCCATCTGTCGCGACCCAATCGCCACACCAGCAGCCCCGGCCCTCTGCTGCACGTACGGCTGACCAGGAGTGAAGGCCACAGCACCTGCGGTCAGCCCCATGGGAAGACCAGAGGCAGGGTCCAAGCCTGACTTGCCAGGCAGGTCAGATCCATCCGGGGCCCCACTGAATGGACTCCAGCCCCCAGACATGTTCGTGCCTACTCCTCCTGCTGCCACGGACCCCCCCCTGACCTGCCACACGTGCTGTGCCTGCTGCTGCTGCTGCTGCGCCAGCTGTGCCTGCTGCGTTCCGGGCTGCTGCTGCTGCTGCGGACCCTGGTCATGATGCTGTGCAGCTAACAGGTCTCCCTGCTGACCTGGGAAGATGCTGGGTGCGGAATGAGTAGCAGGCAGACCCGCACCAGCTTCCATAGACCCTTTCCAGGTTCCATCTGACAGCGCGTGCGGCCCACCAGCCATAATCGCGGGCCCACGCGGAATGGCACCCGCAGCGGACCAACCCAGAGAAGGCGCCTGCATCATGGAGGCCGCGGAGTGGCGCACAGGCGCGCCACCTGCAACGCCCAGGCCGCTCAGAAGGCCGAACGCGATCGGAACACCCGCCGTTGGCAGCAGCGCGTTTGAGTTACTAGCAACACCAAAACCAGAATTCAGATGCTGCGAACCACTAACCAATGGCCTTAACTGCTGCTGCTGCTCCTGCTGCATTGGCGGAAGCGGCTGCTGCTGTTGCTGCAGCTGATACTGATGCTGCGACTGCTGCTGCTGCTGCTGCTGCGGCGGCTGCTGCTGCTGCTGCTGCTGCAGACTAGCTGCTTGAGCTGCCACAAAGTTACCTGGGGGAGGGCTCACTCCCGGCGTCCCTGAAAGACCACTCTTGGCAATGGAAGACGGATCCTGCGCAGATACCACCTGGTTAGTCCCAGCCTGGAAGCTGCTCACCCCCATTCCACTAAGTTGCGAGGACACTGCGACCAAGTCAGCGGCAGCCTGCTGCGTGTGCGCGTCAGGTGAGCGCCTGACCTGCCCACCCGATCCAGCTCCAGACGCCTGACCAAGACCCGCAGAACCTGGCCCCTGCGGCTCTTTCTCAACGCTCTGCTGCTGCTTTTGCTTCTCGGAAAGACCGACGGTTCCACGGGCTGTGCCAGAATCCTCCCAAGACTGACTCTGGTTCTGCTGCTGTTGCTGCTGCTGGGTTACGACGCCCGCTTGCTGTCGCCCCTGCGTCGTGGCAGGCGACTGCTTCTTTTCCTGCTTTTGAGCGCTCTGCACTTGCGCCGGTTCGTGCGTATTCCGCTGCTTCTGCTCGCGTTGCTTCTGCGCTTCCTGCGACGCTTGCGCCTGCTGCTGCGGAATAGGCTGCGGTTGACGCGGGTGCTGCTGCTGGGCCGAGACGTGCTGCTGCTGATGTTTCGTTGCGGGGCCAGGCTGCTGCTTCTGCTGCAAATGCAGCAACGGGGCCTGCTCCCCTGGCGGCTGGGCGTGCGAATGCTGCGGCGGCTGATGCTGCTGGACTTGCAGCGGCGGCTGAACCTGCGCCTGTCGCTGCTGCGAGTACGGCCCTTGCGGTTGAGAAAGGCCTTGCGGCTGCGCGAGCATCTGCTTCTGCTGAGCCTGAGTCTGCATGAGCATTGCCTGCTGTTGATGCTGCTGCGGATGCTGACCGTAGAGCTGCTGTGCACCATGAACCTGCTGCGCCTGGAGCGGCGCCTGCTGCTGCGGAGCGGATTGCACCAGGTGCGGCGGCTGCACATGGTGCTTCGCGAATGCGGCCTGCGGGTGACCTCCCAAGCCCATCCCCGCACCAGCTCTGATTCCGTACGGCCCAGCGTTTCCGACCATCTTTCCCGAATCTACTGACCCCTGCTGTAGCGGCCGGTGCGCGGACGATCCCATGCCAGGAAGCACGCGCTGCTGCTGCTGCTGCTGCTGCTGCTGAGGGAGATGGTGCGACACACCACCGACGTGCTGCCCGTTGACATAGCGCCTATCGTCCTCTCTATCTTGAGCACTCCCCATCAGCCCACTACCAGGCGGGCCAGGGTAAATGCGCGCCGCCATCAGCGCAGGCTGTCCGATTTGAGCGCCGGGATGAGCCGACGCCTGACCGTGGCCATGCCCGTAGCCATAGCCAACAGGGCCCGCGGATCCAGGCAACCCGCCTGTGGGAGGGACGCCCCTGCCTAAGAACTTCGTAGGACCTGCGGACACGCCGACGCTCACCGAGCCAGCTATCATGGTACCTGCCTCCCTACGCTGCTGCTGCTGCTGCTGCTGCTGGAGTAGCTGCTGCTGCTGGAGTAGCTGCTGCTGCTGCTGCTGCTGTTGCTGCGCTTGCTGCTGCTGCTGTTGCTGCTGCTGCTGCGCTTGCTGCTGCAGTTGCTGCTGTTGCTGCTGCAGTTGCTGCTGTTGCTGCTGCTGCTGCTGCTGCTGCTGAGCCAACGTCTCCCGGTGCTTCTCCCGCAAAAACACAGCGGCCTTGTCCAAGTCCCCTTCGAAGGCCACAACAGCGCGTTCGATGTCGGTCCTGTTGTACCCATCCACGCGCTCCATCTGCGCCATGCGAGCCAACTCCTCCGACACATCCAGCTTCAGATTCCCCACGGAACTTGCGTCTCGACCGTTGCTCTCCTGCCCCTCCAGCAACCACGTGACAGACCGTTCCAGGTTGCCGTCGTTGCAGATAAGCGCAATCGTGCACTTGTCTTTAGGAAAACCCATAGCTACTAGCTGCTCCGCCAGACTCTCGAGCTTCCGAGCGGTGAGAAACCCAGTGCACTTGTCCCTCAACTCCTGAGCCTTCTTCTCCTTCTGCCTAAGGTGTTTCTTCTCGTTCTTGGCCCGTATCTTGTCCTTCTTGTCAGGGACCGCCGCCAAGGCTTGCTGCTGTCCGTCTCGCGACGTGGCACCGGGCCCTTTCAACCCTGCTTGATCTTCCGACTCCCCTGAACAACTCCCGCTGTTGGACAGAACATCGCTCTCCTGAGTTCCTCCCCCCGCGTCGTCCCCTTCTTCAAAAGACCGATACCGTCCGTTCTGCGAATTCCCTGAACCATCTGGGTTCACCCCGGCGATATTATGAAACGTTCCTGATATGGGATTGTACGCGCCAGCAGGAAACCCTGCTGCGGTTCCCCCCGCGCCTGCTTGTTTAGAGGCTGTCTTCCATGACTCGCGGACGCCTGGCTTCTCTGCTGTCTGCCGCTCCTGAACTCCATACCGGATTTTTCCTGTGTTCCCAGCCATCCTGCAAACACAAACGGACAACAGACCGGCTAGCCTTAAAATTACGTAAATGATGAAAGCAACGTGAGACAAAGGCGATACAGAAGCCGGATTTCGTCCACAAAGGGCACCAAGACAAGCGTTAAAGGCCAGAACGAGGAGCAGGAGGTATAATATGCAATATTGGAAAACGATGGATTTAAAGACGGAACAGTCCTAACACCGAGTTCCTTCTGAATTTCGGCAAAGAAATGACAGCAGCGAGACCGGGTGAAAGAGGAAAGCAGATCCAAGTAGAATTGGACAAACTCCAGATCCACGACACGACAGACGACATCGCAACTTCCCCACTCGAGGCCTGCGTTGATAGGACGGGTGGAGACTGACACGACCGAGAATCTTAAATACGAAGATATTAGAATAGTATAATAGTGAACGCCGCAAGATCGTAATAAGTCGTAACAGACGAAGGCGGACGGAAAGAAACCGGGATGAATCTAGGGTTACAAGCTAGGGACGACGGTGAGAAATAAAATACGTGTCATCTCACTGAAGATAGACACCAAGCATCTGCGACAACTAACCAGCTGGAAGGTGCTGTGACGCGGCTCCAGGTATCTGGATCTTCAGGGGATTCCACTGTAAGGTTCCACAACCAGCACGTGCACTTATGGTCCTTAGTACCTTGTGCCTGATATGAGAGATGAATGGATGTGAAAGGTGGAGGGGACGTAGAGAGGGAGGTAAGGAAAGGAGGTTCAAGAGGGTGAGGTTGTGGCGATGGCGACAGGTTCATGTTTCGCCTAAGAAACTCCTTTTCGCAACCACCAGTATTGCAGGTAACTAGAATATGCGAAAACACATATTCTTCGCAACACTCGGTGGCCCTGTGGGTTGACCAGGGTGCCTCCCGCATTTGGGCTCGCTGCAAGGGACGAGGTGGACAGGAGAAACACCAGAGCAAGGTTCCCCCGAATCCCAAGCCATTCTGCCGAACCTAGCAACATCTTCCACAACGCTCAAGTGCGAAACCATGAGCCAACCGATATTGGGGTTACAGCTCAAATATTTCGTGAACGTCGTCAACAGTTCAGCCTCACATCCCTGGCAAGGTGGCAAACTGATCTACAGCCAAGAAACCACCGCCCTTCGAACCAGACTGGGTACGGGTTCCACGTAAGCACGATAAATCCAAGGGACAATCCACAAAGCACACGACACCGCTCGCTGTCAGGCTCTAGGCAACAAGGCACACACCGAACGGAACAGCTTCAGCCCTAAACCCATGTCCCGCTATCTCCAGCAAAAAACACTTCGGTAAAGTGGAGGGTAATGCAGATTGAACAATCATCCCAAACAAATTACTGTACGCAAAAAATGCAGGGTACCTGAACACTTTTCCGCATCCTGGTTGTATGAAGGAAGCCAAAGCATAGAGGACATGCCTACAGCTTTCCAACCATCTATAACCCTATAGCAATCCTACTTTTGCGAAACCCTGGAGTTACTTCTCTACACACGGACGACTACCTACGGTGGACGTAGCTGTCATGACCTTTGATATGGCATCCCCATACAGGCCACAAAATGCTCATGCACACAGCCTTCATCCACCTGACCATCGGGCATATGTATTGCAACATTATACAAACAGATTGTGCCCAGGTACGGCAGCAGCAGGAACAACCCCCCCCCAACACCGACCATGGCAATAACCATTGGTCCACATGTCACAATGGCGTTGGCATAGACACCGTATCCGCGCGCTGGTGCGGCACGTCCTCATCAGACGACTCCTCTTCGCTATCATCAGACAGAGCCACCGCCCTCCGCTGCTGCACATGCGCACGCAGCAGAGCAGCCGTTGACGCTCTCGACGACCCCACGCTGCCAGCCTCTTGCGATGGCTGTGATGCCACCACCACTGCATCATCATCCTCCTCCTCATCATCATCTGACTCAGACCCATCATCCATGGCACTGCGCCTTCCAGCCATGGTTGCCGCTACCACCGCTGCTCGCGACAGAGAAGCTGACCGCCCGCCTGCTACCCCTCCGCCTTCCTCCTTCTCCTTCTCTTTCTCCTCCGCTTCTTCCTCTGCCATCGCAGCAGCAGCTGCCTTGTCGCCTCTACTAACCGCCTCCATCAATCCCTCTCTGCTGGATGCTACGCGGCTCAGAAGCTCTGCCTGCTGCTGCTCCTTGAGCAGCTCTGCCTGCCTCTTCCGTTGCTCCTCCTCCGCTACTTTCTTCTTGCGCCTCTGCTCCTCCTCCAGGGCCTTCTTCTTCTTCTCATAGTCCGCCACGTCTGTTCGGAACTTGGCGATGAAATCACTCAGCACCTCAGCAACTGTTGGCAAGGAGAGCGCAAGAGACAGGTGGACGGATGGAGTATTATTTATACGAAAAGGACGGGTGACAGTGGGGCGAGAGGAAGCAGAGGAGAACGGCGGAGATTGGAGGGAGGGATAGCACCGGACCAGGGCAGAAAAGAGGGAGGGAAATGCTGGATTAGAAGATGATGGTGATCAGAAGAGAGAGGCAGGTGGTGAACTGGGCGAAGCCGGCATACTGAGTGTGAAAGGAGCGGTCTTGGCGTCTCCTCCGAAGTAGCGTGACAGGGAGGCTGTTGTCTCCTTCTGCACGCCCACCACACATGCATGGGTTGAGAGGGAGAGAGGGTGGAGATGCATGAGCGGGCTGAGGGGTTGCTGAAAGAAAGCGGAGAGCAACGAAGCATTGGAGAGAGGCATTGGAGAGGCATTGGAGAGAGGCATTGGAGAGAGGCATTGGAGAGAGGCATTGGAGAGAGGCATTGGAGAGGCATTGGAGAGGCATTGGAGAGGCATTGGAGAGGCATTGGAGAGGCATTGGAGAGGCATTGGAGAGAGGCATTGGAGAGAGGCATTGGAGAGAGGCATTGGAGAGAGGCATTGGAGAGAGGCATTGGAGAGAGGCATTGGAGAGGCATTGGAGAGGCATTGGAGAGGCATTGGAGAGAAGCATTGGAGAGACGCATTGGAGAGAGGCATTGGAGAGGCATTGGAGAGAGGCATTGGAGAGACGCATTGGAGAGAGGCATTGGAGAGACGCATTGAGTGGAATGTACCATTTGGGAGTGCAGGTCGTGCAGCTGCGACAGCACTGGCTCCACCTCATTCTTGATGAAATACTCCAGGGCCTGCCATGCCACGCCCAGGCGGACAGTAAAGCACAGCCTCAGCTTGCCATAGACACCATTAGGCATGGCCGCGAGTGAAAATCACAAGGAAAGGCAGCCCAGAATCACATCCTGCTGCTACAGGTGAAAGATTCTAACGAATATTTGAGAATTTTAAAGAGCACTACACAAGGAGCTCAACCCATGACAGCAAGCCCGAAACCTCATCCGAATGCTTTGGGTGTTTACTCCTAACGCCCTTTTCCGTACCTCGTGCATTGACGCCAATTCCTTCCCCTTGTGATCTGCCTCAGCTGTCTCCTCTGCCCTCTTCGCCTTCGCCTCCTCCTTTTTCTTCCTCTCCTCCTCCTTCCGACTCCTCTCCTCCTCACTCAACCCTTCCACACTCCCCTCCTCCTTCTCCCCCCCCTCCTCCGCTTCCTCCTCCGCCTTCCTCTCTGCCTCCAGCTTCTCTCTGCGCTCTCTCTCCTGCTCCATCTGCTTGTCCACAGCAGCCAGCTCTCTCTTAGCGGCCGCAGCCTCCTTTTCAACCTCTGACACCGCCTCCTGTAGCGCACCAAACTCCACCTTGCGTGCTTCTTCCAGCAGGTTTCGTGACCCCACAAAATACTCTTTCCAAAACGTCAGCAGCTCAGGCTGCCCCTCGCCTAGGACCTGTGGGAAGGGAGAGAGGTGGAGTGGGGTTGGTTGGGGGATGAGAGAGGAGTGCAGTGCGGTGTGGGAAAGAAGTGGCGAACGGAAGTGTGGGGATGAAGGATGTGTGGAGACGAGCAGAGGAATGTGTGTGTTGCGCATGCATGGACATGTCCGAACGTGTGTTCCATGTGTATGCGTGTCTGTGGAGGGTGACGAGGAGGACGGGGGACTAGGAGCTGGCGGCGAGAGTGAATGCGCGTGAAGATGGCATGTGCTGTGGGGGCTGGCGTGGGGACTGGTGTGGGCGCAGGTGTGGGGGCAGGTGTGGGCGCAGGTGTGGGGGCAGGTGTGGGCGCAGGTGTGGGCGCAGGTGTGGGCGCAGGTGTGGGCGCAGGTGTGGGCGCAGGTGTGGGCGCAGGTGTGGGCGCAGGTGTGGGCGCAGGTGTGGGCGCAGGTGTGGGCGCAGGTGTGGAGGCAGGTGTGGGCGCAGGTGTGCGCGCAGGTGTGGGCGCAGGTGTGGGCGCAGGTGTGGGCGCAGGTGTGGGCGCAGGTGTGGGCGCAGGTGTGGGCGCAGGTGTGGGAGCAGGTGTGGGGACAGGTGTGGGGGCAGGTGTGGGCGCAGGTGTGGGCGCAGGTGTGGGCGCAGGTGTGGGCGCAGGTGTGGGGGCAGGTGTGGGCGCAGGTGTGGGCGCAGGTGTGGGGGCAGGTGTGGGGGCAGGTGTGGGGGCACGCACCTTGATGAGGTAAGCCATGAGGCCCTTGGTGCGCACCACCTGCTTCAAGTCCTTGGCTGCAAAGCCCTCCACTCGCCCTGCACTCCAGTGCATGCATGCACACGCACACATGCACACGCATGCACACAACAAATGTGTATGCACGCATACATGCATACGCATTCGTACAGGCGTATGCACAAACATGCACACCCACACACAAACAGAGAGAGACACACATGTCAACATGCACAGGACCCGGGCAGTCACGTTAACAGGTAGGCTATGAGGCGCGTCAATGCGTCACCTACCCACCCACCCCCCACACTCCCGTGGCCCCAACACACCCCATGCCCCCCACCCGCCCCATGCCCCTCTCACACCCCATGCCCCCAACACGCCCCATGCCCCCAACACGCCCCATGCCCCCAACACGCCCCATGCCCCCACCCACGCCCCATGCCCCCCTCAACGCCCCGTGGCCGCCCCTGTGCGTGGCGTGCCACACACCTTTGCTGGTGCCCTCGTTGAGCATGTTGCCTATCTTGAGAATCACCAGCAGCACGGTTTTCAGCAGCGTCGACTGCTGCACCTGGTGTTGCACATGCCGGAGGGGGAGGGGAGAGAGAGAGAGGGAACGACGGAGCAAGAGAGTGTGTGAGGGAGAGGGGCAAGGGGAGGAAGGAGGGGCTGGAAAAGGGGGTGCAGAGGCTGGCATAGTACCCAGGTGTGACGGGCAGATGGACGATATGAGGGTGAGTGTGAAGGTGATTTCAACTGTCATGAATATGTGGCGTCGAAGTGTCACCAACACTGGTGGCAGGGAGCAGTGCAGTGCTGTGCATGGTAACCGTACCTTTTCTGAGACGGAGATCACAAACTGCAGAGTGTCTAACAACCCCTTGCTCTGTCACGGAGTCAAACAAGCAGCAGGGCAGGAACGAGGACAGACAGTGAGTGAGAGACAAGAAAAATGGGGGAACAGGGAGGGGGGTGACCGGTGGAGGAGGGGCGGGAGACGGGAAATTGTGTGATGAGAGCATAAGGATGGGAAGAGGCATGCATGGACAAACATGCGATCAGTGCGGGGGCGGGAGCGATAACAGGAAGAGGATGATGAGGTTGGAACATAACAGAAACAGAGGGCACTGCTTGGGCCAGAGGGAGGCGTGCTTGCAGTGACGAGACGGAGAGACGGAGGAAGGGGGATACAGACATGCGGGACACACGGGACGGGGAAGGGCAGAAGGAGGAGGAGGGGGGCAGGAGGAAACGGGTTTGCAGTGGGAGAGGAGGGGGGCGGGGCGGGGCGGGGCGGGGGGGGAGGGACTGACTCGTTCGGAGAGGAAGATGCGGTAGCGCAGCACTTTGAGCTTCACCTCCAACCGATCCACTGGCAGCAGCAGCAGAAACACCTGCCATGCACGGGGAACGGGGACAGGGGGAGGGAAGGGAGGAGGGCGGGGAGGGAAGTGTGGGAAGATGTGACGTGGTGATTGGGAGGTGATGGGCATGGTGTGATGTGGTGGTGCCGTGAATGGAGGTAAAACGAGGGGCAAGGAGCAGACACAAGGAGGAACGAGCAGGGACGAAAAGGAGGAGGATGAGGAGGAGGACGAAAGGGAACGAGGAGGGACATAGAGGAGGACGGCCATGTGTGGCCGCACAGTTGAGTGTGAGATGTAGGGACGTGTTGCACACAAAGCAGAGGAGTGAGAGCAAGGTAGCGAGCATGAACAGCGGTGTTTGAAACACTACATGTGTGTCACACTCAGCTCAACATTCTTTGCTTACTCTTTCCCCGCTTCCCCCCCCCCCAACTTTCCCCTCCTCTTCCCCCCCCTCCCCTTCCTTCCCCCGTCCTTCTTAGTGAAGGGGATCTGGTATGTGTTTGTGTACCTGTTCAGCTGGCCCTAGCTCGTCAAAGTCGCCTTTGTACCCCTGCAAGGCCACATCATACCGCACAGCAACACATCACGCACCACACAGACGGGTTTTGAGGAGCCTCAAAGGTCACCGCCCAGCATCACAGCACACATGACAGCAGAAAGGCACAGGGAAAAAGGTGGTGGGCACATAGTGAGCGCATGAGAGAGCGCCTCACAAAACCAAGTGGTGAGCGTGCTAGAGGGAGCAGGAGAAGCAGGCGTGTGGGGCAGAGAAGGTAGGGGCAGGAGGGAGAGGGGGAGGGCAGGAGGGCACACAGGGGGTGCTTGCAATAAGCCGCACACACATGGGTGGGGTAGGGTTGCGAGGGAAGAGGCGAGCAGGGAGAGGAGCATTTCACAAGACGTGCAGGAAACAAACAACTTGCAGGGTGCAACAGAGGGGTGCAGCAGAGGGGTGCTGCAGAGGGGTGCAGCAGCAGAGCACAGCAAAGGTGGTGCGGTGGGGTGTGGAGCAGCAGAGCAGGTTACCTTGAGCAGCTTGTTCTCCTCGGGCGTGGGCTGGTACTTGAGCAGCGTCTCCACAAACGACTCCGTTGACTCGCCCAGTGCCGCCGCGTCCAGCGTCAGTAGACAGCGCTGTGTGGGGTGGGGGGGAAGGGAGAGAGGGGGGAGAGAGGGGAGAGAGGGGAGAGAGGGGAGAGAGGAGAAAGAAGGGAGAGAGGGGAGAGACGGGAGAGAGGGGAGAGAAGGGAGAGAGGGGAGAGAGGGGAGAGAAGGGAGCGAGGGGGGTGCAGGGGGGGAAGGCGGGAAGGAAGGGTAGGAGGAGGGGGGGGGGGGGGAGGGATAGAGGCAGGGGCAGGGGCAAGTGGATTGGCAGGGGGTGGGGCACGGATGAGAGGGGATGAAGAGGCGGACGAGGAGATGGGAAAAGCGGCGAGGGTGAGGAAAAGGGGAGACGGAGGTGAGGTGGACATTTCAGAAGGATAGTCTGCCTTGCATGCATGAAAGGCACAGTGTGCAGGCGAGCGGAAGCGAGAGGGGGACGCGGAGGGAGGGAGAGGGGCAGGGCAGGGAGGGAGAGGGGCAGGGCAGGGAGGGAGAGGGAGAGGGCAGGGTGGGAGTGGGAGTGGGAGTGGGAGTGGGAGTGGGAGTGGGGGTGGTGGTGCATACGACGAGGTCGCGAGGGTCCTTCTTGATGCTGCGCAGAGCGATTTCCATGTTGCGCCCCTTCTTCTCGTCCAGCTGCCATGGGGGAAACGACACGGCGGAGCAGCCACACAGGAGATGACGAGAGCGGGGAGGTGAGAGATAGGTAGGACCGGGGGGGTGGGGAGACGAAGAAAAGGGACAGGAGTGGAGGGTAACGGGAATTTCCAAAGTGGAATGCTAGAGTGAGATGTGTATTTACTCTTCAAGAGGCAGATCACACGGAGGGATGGGGATGGGGTTAGGGGGGGGGATGGGGATGAGGATGGGGATGGGAGAAGTCGGAAGAGGAAAGGGGTGAGCTGATGGGAAGGCAAGGGGAGAATGTACGAGGAGTTGGATATCCGTCGTTTTTCGGATATCCAAAAGTTGGATTTCCGAAAAACGACGGATATCCAACCTCTGGATATTCGAAAAAACGCCGGATATCCAACTTTTGGATATCCTCTTGACTTTCTTGGTTTTGAGAATTCTCGAAAGAGGGAAAGGGGTGGTGGGAAGGCAAGGGGAGAAGGAGAACGTACGAGGCGGATCTTGACTTTCTTGGGAGCAACGGTCTTGAGGGGCTTGGGTGCCTCGACCTTCTTGCCCTCAAACTCCTTCTTCAAGTCGCCTATGTCTATGTTCACGCCAATGTCTCTGGTGGTGTGCGCGTGCACACACGCAAACACACACAGATGTGGCACACATACGCACATGCACACACCGCACACGCACACACAGCACATGCACACACAGCAGCATGCACCAACACCCATTCACAGGTAAATGAGACAAGAGGCACCAGCGACAGCAGAAGCCAGAAAGGGCGACAGCACAAACCACACCATCCACTCACGCACCATACTCTATGCACAACCCCCCACCAGCTTCCCTCTGCCTTTTCCCCACCAACCCCCCCCCCTAGTCCGCTCCCCAACCCCGCACTTGCTACCCTCTGCCCTTTGCCCCCCAGGGGCCAGCACTCACAGCTTGCCCTTCCAGATGGAGTCGTCCCCTGCATTCACAGGGTTCCAGTTCACTATGGCGCGCCCACCCCGCTTGCCCCCCAGGGGAGGCGGCGGGGGGAACTTCCCCTTGCCTCCAGGCGGGGGAGGGGGAGGGGGACCCTTGCCCTTGGGCGGAGGCGGGGGAGGGGGAGGCCCCTTGCCCTTGGGACCAGGGGGTGGCGGCGGAGGAGCGGGTGCGGGTTTGTCAGGTAGAGTCGGGGGGGGAGGAGGGGGTGGTGGTGGAGGAGGGGGTGGAGCAGGAGCGGGAGGTGGTGGAGGTGGCACTTCTGGTTTCTTGTCCTCGTCTGGTTTCTTGTCTCCTTCTGAATTCTTTTCCCCATCTGGTTTCTTCTCTTCTTGTGAACCAGGCCCTGCTTCTGCTTCATCATTACCTTCGTCCCTTCTCTTCCCCCCTGCACTTCCCCGTGCCAACCTCTCCTTGATCGCTCGAATGCTACTCCCGCCGTCCCTGCCCCTTCTCAACCGCCCCTTCCCTCCATCACCCTTCACCCCCTCCTCTTCCTCCTCTTCCTCCTCCCTACTCCCCTCGCTCCCCTCACCGTCACTCCCAGCCTCACCATCCCTGCTCCCCATCTCCTTTATTCCCTTCATCTGCACCTTCCCCCTCCCACGTCTCACTCTTCTCCGTACACCCACTGTACGACCCTCACCTCTCTCCCCCGTCTCCCTCTTCTCACCCATCTCCTCCATTTCCTCCATCTCCTCCTCCGATCCTCCCTCCTCCTCCTCCTCCTCCTCCTCCTCCTCATCCTCCTCCTCCTCCTCTCCTCTCATCCGTCCCCCATCGCCCAGCTTCCCACTCAGAATCTTCTCCACCATCTCACCCACGCGCCCAGCCTCTATACCCTGGCTCACATCGTCCCGACCGCGTGCCTGCCTCCCGCTCTGCTTGCTCTCCGTGGCCCCATCTCCTTCCTGTGTCGTGGGCGGGGCGGGCATGGGCCTGGGCTTCACATTGGGTGTGTACTTGTTAGCCTGCCCCACCACGCCCCGCACCACCGTGGGCTTCAGAGCAGGGTCTCGCTTCCACAGACCAGCACTTAGCGCCGAACTCGCCCCACTCATTCTCCCCGCACCACTCCCCCCATCACCACTGCCATATCCGGCCCCACGAGCCCCATACCCGCCCCCACCACCCCCATACCCGCCCCCACCGCCCCCATACCCGCCCCCACCGCCCCCGTACCCGCCCCCACCACCTCCATACCCGCCCCCATACCCACCCCCACCAGCAGCACTACTACCAGCACTGCTCCCAGCTGCACCGCCTCCTCTTCTCCCCGCGCCATCTGCTGCTTCTCCCCCCCCAGTATAGCTCCCAGACTCCCCATCCTCTTCCGGCATGCTCCCTGCAGCCTCCCGCCTCCAGTACGGCACATACGGCTTCCGCACATAGCCCTTAGGCACACGCACCCCCGCACCAGCCCCATACCTCCCGGCTGCCGAACCTGCCCCGCCCGCACCTCCCCCTCCCCCTCCCGCACCCGCACCAGACCCATCCCCTGCTCGCCGGAACGCCGGGAGGGGGATGCGGACGGGGGGGTCGCGGCCGCGCATGGGGGACATGGGGCGGCGCAGACCCTCTCCTATTGACCCTGCGAGGGACTCATCCTCTAGCTCTGCGCTCACACCATACTCCGAGTCACGGGCGCCCAGGGACACGTGGCTGGGCGGTGGGGCATCCATATCCGCACTCACCAGCCAGTCTGCTACCTTGGCCACCACCTGTACTCTATGCTCCATCTCTACACGCGTCTCGCCTGCACCACCACCACCACCGTCGACACCACCAGCAGCAGCGCCAGGGACTCCGCCCGGGACAGCAGTACCAACCCCAGGGCCCACCCCAGCACCATACCCATAGCCATACGTCCCACCAGCAAGCCCTCCTACTCCTCCCATGCCTGCTCTCCCTCCTGCTGCTGCTCCAGGCATACCCAAGCCTGGCCTGTACCCCGAGTAGCTGCCTTGCCCTGCTGCACCGTACCCTGCACCCATACCTGCTGCACCATACCCTGCACCCATGCCTGCTGCACCGTACCCTGCACCCATGCCTGCCCCCACTCCTCCGTACCGGCCTCCAACCCCTGGCACCCCTCCCATCCCAGCTCCCATCCCCCCCACAACACCACCAACACCACCACCACCAGCAGCGTCCCCAGCTCCGTATCTGTCCGTACCAGCAGCACCAGCACCATACGTGCCTTGGCCCACCGCCCCATACGGGCCTGAACCCGCCATGGCTGCCGCATTGGCCCTCTGCTGAACCACCAGGTCGTAGTAGCTCCCACCCATGGGCCCTCCAAGTCCATTCAACGCGCCTGCTGATCCCTGTCGAGCAATGGGTTGAACCACCGCTCCTACCCCCCCGCTCAGAACACCCCCCGAGCCTTGCCTAGCAAGCGGATACGCAGCTGCATAGTCTGTCCCACCGCTGCTGCTGCCGCCACCAGGCCCCAACGCGGCCCCCACAGAAACATCCCTCACAAAACTCCCGTCACGCACACCCCGCCACCGCTCTCCACCCCCTGAATCCCCGTCCATACCCATCCCCTGCTCGTCCCGTCTCTGCCCTGGCACGTACCCAGAAACTTGCCCGGAAACCAGCCCTGGCACTTGCCTATACGGCTGCTGCGCGTACGCTTGCCCATACCCCTGCCCGGGAATTCCTGTGACCAGCCCTGCTCCAGGGACCGCCCCTCCTCGTGATCCTTCCGACCCGTCCATACTGCCTGGCCCAGGGCCATACTCCCTCCCTCCGCCATCGCCCTCCCTTGCACTGCCCCTCCTGCTCCCACTTCGACCGCTAGACGCAGGGGAAGGTGGCCCGTCGTCTCTCTCCCTCTCGCCCACACCAGCATCCGCGCTGCTCAAACCCCTTGCTGCAGCCGCAGCAGCCGCCGCTGCTGCAATGGTGCCTGGGTCGCCATCAGCAGGCAGGCCCCACACCACGCCTCCCCGCCCTTGTACCGTTTCTCCCTCCCCTCTCCCCGTGTCCCTCCTTGCATCACCCCGCTCCAGTCTCTCCCTCTCCCTCTCTCGCTCCCTCTCCCGCACTCTCTCCCTCGCTGAAACCGAGGACGAATCATCCTCCCCCGGTTTCTGCACCAGGCTGAGTATCCCCCGTCTTGGTCTTGCACTCCCTGCACCTGCCACTCCAAAGCTCCCACCAGCACCACCAGAGGCACCAGCGGTACCCACAGTAGCGCCAGCAGAGCTCTCACCGCTCTGCCCGCGCCTCAATCTATCCATGTGCGATGGGGGTGGCGGCAGAGCCCCTTCATCTGCCCCTCCACCCGCCGCCCCGCTTCTCTCTGGAAACCCTGCCCCTGTGGTTCCAGAGAAGAGCTTGGGCAGCGGCGGAGCAAGCAGGTCTTTTTCCAGTCCTGAGCGGTCCGATACACCTGGTGGCAGTGGCAATGCGCTTGTCCCTGCCGCTCCCGCTCCTGCACCTGCCCCCCCTGCTGACGATGTGGCCCCTGCTCTGCTGCTGCCCCCTACGCTGGACGCCCCATCCGCGTCACTCGCACCACTGTCGAACCCTCGCACCTTCATCCTCTCCCTCACGCGCTCCTGTGCCCTCTCCTTCCTCAGCTCCCTCTCCCTCTCCTTCTGCCTCCGCTCGTCCTCAGACCCTTCCCTCTCCCTCCCCCCCACCTCTCTCTGCGCCCGTTCCTTCTCCTTATCCCGCTTCTCAATGCGAGCCTTGGCCCTCTCCCGCACCAGCTCCCGCATCTTCTCCCGCTGCCTCTCATGCTCCCGCTGCCTCTCATGCTCCCGCAACCCACCGCCCACGTCCTGCCCACCAGCAACACTCCCCGCTGCAGACGTCCCCCTTTCCACTTCCTTCTCACTCTCACTCTGGCCCATACCAATCCGCGCCTCGTCCGCTGCACCCCCAGCACCGTCCCTCGAAGCATCAGAGCCGTCTCCTCCCAGCGCCTCTCCAACCCCTTGCCGCGCTCCAAGCTCCAGCTTCCCCCGCACTGTGCCAAGGTCCGAGAGTTCATCCCAGCGAGGCCCTGACCCGCGTGAGAAGGACGACTTGACAGGCACGGGACTCACACCCCCGTCTGGCGGGCCGTCCCTTACCTTTATCGGGTCATCCGAGGCACCCTCAGCAACCAACATGCCAAACGTCAGTGACCCCATCAGTGTCCCTTCCTCCTGCAGCTGAGGCAGCTGCTGCTGCTGCTGCTTCTGCTGCTGCTGCTGCTGCTGCTGCTGCTGCTGCTGCTGCTGCTGCTGCTGCTGCTGCTGCTGCTGCTGCTGCTGCTGCTGCTGCTGCTGCTGCTGCTGCTGCTGCTGCTGCTGCTGCTGCTGCTGCTGCTGCTGCTGCCGTTCGCGCTCTGCACTCTGCACAGCCTCCTCTGCTATCTCATCAAAGGACAAGGACGCAACGGAGGACGACTGTCGGACCACTCGCGATCTCATCAGCCTAGGAGTGCCTACAGCCTCCTCCCCTGCACCTGCGCCTGATGCCGTGACGCCAGCAGTGGCCGCAGCCGAATCCACAGTATACCCAGATTGAGAAGACGCGCCACTGGTCACACCCACCATAGCACCCCCTCCAGCGGTAGTGTTCATGCCGCCAAGAGCGGGGCGGTAACCCGGATGTTCCGAACCACACCCGGATGTGCCGCCAAGAGCAGGATGGGCAACATCCACACCGCTACCAGTTCTCCGTAAAACGAATCCCCCTTCAGCACCGCTCCTTTGCCTGGGCGTGTGAGCTCCATCCTTCTCCCTCCCGTACTGCCCTTCCACCACAGCCACCACCGACGCCTCCACGCTGTTCCCTCCCCCAGGGCTGCTCGCGCCTGCTGCTGCGCCCGCCGCGTCCCTGGGTTCACTCATGCGCCCACCCGGGCGCCTGTGGCGGGAGTAGGCGGCTGCAACGGCTCCCGCAGCTGCTCGCGCAGGAGACACGAGCGTCTGAGAATCTTGCCTCACCAAATCGTTGTTCCGAGGCGTGCTCCCACCGTCCGACCCTCGGCTTGCCCTGCTTCCCCCCCGCCCTCCCCTGCTTTCTGCAAACCCGTCGTCCATGCTGCCCCCTGCTTGGGAGTCGCCAGAAGGGGATTGTTTCACCCATTGCTGCGGCGGCGGCTGCAGCTGCGGCGGCGGCGTTAGTTGGTCGTCTGGTGGCACCTGCACCCTCATTTGTAGCTGCCGCTGCAGCCGGGGTCGCTGCTGGGCCGGCTGGGCTGGCTGGGGCAGCGGTACCTGCTGCTGCTGCTGCTGCTGCTCCTGCCACATCGGCCCTGCTTGCTGCTGTTCCTGCTGCTGCTGTAACTGCTTCTTCCTCTCCTTCTCCCTCTCCTTCTTCTTCTTCTTTTTCTTCTTCCGTCTCTTCCTCTTCTTGTCCTCCCCATCCACGTCCTCCCAGTTGCTACCCACGGGAGCCAGCCCTTCAAGCAGGTGCGACCCCACGAACGACCCAGCAGCAGCATCTTCCGCGCGGTTCAGCGAGAACGACGATTGGGCGTCATCGTCCAACTCCCCCCCGAAATCCACGGACCCCCCTCCCCCCTGAGCCGCTCGCCTCGTCAGCGCCGGCAATCCCAGGGAGGTGGAAAGCTCAGCTGCGGGCCCTAGGATCTTCTCCACGTCTAATTCCAGCCCTTGATTTCCAAATAGCCCGCCGTCGTCTTCGTCTGCCGCTCCTCCCAGCGGCATGTCAGCGGCACCGGAAGCTCCTCCTGAGTTGGGCACGAGGTCGTTGTTCGCGTAGCGCCGGGACCCTGATAGCTCTGCCAGGAACCCTAACTGCTTGAAACGGGCAGAGGACGGAGGGGAAAGCGAGCGCGGGGCCATGCGGAGAGCGTGGGAAAAGAAAGGGAAACGGCAGACGCAGGTCATGCAAAAGGAAAATTAGAGAGTCGAATATGGCTTAGTATGCAGAAAAACGCTTGTTTAGAAAATAAGCGTACGTGATGGACTGGCGTTCCGATTGCTCAAGGCGAAACGGAACGAAAGAGAATAACGGGAGGTAAAGGCTTGGAAACTAGGGCTGGTTGCGCTGCTCGAACTAATCGCCAAGCCAAGAGAGCAACTGATCAAGGCCTCTACGCCACATCACCCTCTCCTCCACTCCTCACGCCCTACAATACCTCACCTTGATCGGTCCCGGAGGCTCCGGCGGGGGCGGCGGAAGAGGCGCGTTGGACGGCTGCGGTTCCACCTGCACTGGGCCCAGCATGCTCAGGAAGCGGCGGAGCCCGGACTCCTTACGCACTACACCGCGCTGCATGACGGCAAGCCCTTGTCGCGGACGAAATGACCTGGATAAATACTTCTACTTCCTGGCCGGACTCGAGCTGCGACGGGAGGACTACGAGGTGACTGCTACTGCGCGTGATTTGCTACGAATGGCTATATGACGACGAGTCATTATTCCTAGAGCTGTTGTCAGATGGATTTTGAATTAGAAAGTCGCTACTGTAACGCCTACGATTTCTCGTAATTGTCCACTCCAGCTTCGTGCACCAACACGTTATCTCACGTTTCCCCCTCATAGTTCAAATCGACCTGATAATGTGCCAAATAGCACCATCTTCAGGGAAATTAACATATCGCCGAAACGCCGTTTTCCCCGAAATGAAAGATAAAAAGTTGAGGTAGGTCGTGCGCATGACATGAGACCAGCAGTCCCGACGAAGCCCAAATTGTGAGGTCCGGCGGATATGGTACTTTCCAAAAGCGATGGCTTGCACGGTAGACCTAAGCTGATCTGACCTAAGGCAACGCGAAATAAGAATGGCAAGAGAAATGGTCCGCGAAAGCACACCAGGACGGGACGGGACGGTGCTTTCGATGAAAGTTACCACATGGCACTCTGACGTCCTGACTCAGTCGTGAAAGCACATCGGGAACGGGCCAACATCATAGGCATGCAAAATAGTCTGGTAAATATGCCCCACGCATAAAACGGACTAATCACGTAAGTCCAAATATGATTGATCCGTTTTATGCGCGGGGCATATTAGACATTGCGAAAATTTCGAATGGGGAATAGTACGCAACACTTGCGCGGGATGAGACGAGTACGTGAGAGGACTTTCGGGGCTAAATTCCTTGTAGGGTAATGTGCCGGGGAAAACAAACACCTCGAAAATCCCCTGGCGTGGCCACTCGAGCAATTATCACTGAATTTGATGGCCACGCGAGCAATTTGGGGACACGTGGGCAAGAGCGAATCACCAAACAAGGCCCTGGAGCAGTTCTCTCGCCTTCCTCTCCTGCTTGCTCGCAGGACAAAGAACGAAGTGTATTGTACTCGACTCCTCCCAAGTTGCCACTGTTCCTTTCTTTACCTCCATCCCATCCCATTCCCCAACCATCCAACCTCCGATTACTGTATTACTTGCGGAGTTTCCAAACAGCACACCGATACCTTCGCACAGCCGTGACTGGTGAGTGGGTGTGTGAGCAGCTCTCCCTCGAACAGTGGCTCCACTAGTGACGGTGCGATGGAGGAAAACATTGCTACACCCCCCTGCCAGCCGTCGAACTGTCAGCGTAGGCAAGATGGACGCTGGCTGTCCAACCAATAATGTGCACAGAGTAACTGACTCTGACATGCAAAAACAATAACTGAGGTGTATTGCATCGCGTACAGGCGAGATCTCCGCAACCAAAGCCTGCGCATTCTGGGCCCTTCCGCGCGTCACCCATGCATTCTGATGCGACCTCGTTCTGACACTCGGCTCACCTCCCCCGAGGTTCTCGCCCAGCAGCAAGGGGCTACAAACTTCGCTAGATTCGTTTGTAGTGTAACAGATCGTTTGTGGCGAAAGTTGGCGAGCTGTTCTTGGTACACACTAGGTGTAACTCCGCCTAACTCCAGTGCGCTGCTCTTGACCTATCAGGCAGGGAGCCCAAGTCCGAATACCCGGCGGAAGCGCTTCCGCTTGCAAAATCCCCAGGTTCGTGTCAGACTTTGAAGTTGCAGTTTCCGCAAACCTCTCAGCCTTGGCGCCATTTCCAAACCAAGACAATTGTAACGCGAGAAACAAAATTATTGTCGCTAAAAATTGCGACGAAAACGCTTGAACTCTTCGTTGACAAATCTCCACCAGTGAAACGTTCGCGAACGTGTCCCGTTGCTCTCTCCCTGGTTTTGGCGAAGCGGATCCGCGCAAAAACCGAAGCGCAAAGCCACTTTCCGTGACTGGTTTTGGAGAGAATTACCGCGGCACGGGCTTTGGATTCGTGATTTTTTTATATCGCGCTCATTTTTTTAAAAAACCCGAAACTAATGCAATCCACATTTTATCCCGCGCGTTCCGCGCTCGCGTCATTTCGCTTTATATAAACACTTTTATGGTTGTTTTTTTTTGTTTCCGTTTTGTCGGTGGGCAGTTTATGGTTTGACGTGGAACCTCCCTGTCACGCAGGGTTCACCAATTGGTCATTGCGTTCCCGACAGTGTGGAATGCTGGTTCGGCGAGGTTCGAGCGCGAACAGGTACGACAGTATGTTTCGGTTCACTGAATCAGACTGTCGCGAGATGAGAAGTTTTACGTGTCTCAATTCAGTCAACTCGTGTCGTGAGACGATTGGTTCTGAGGTTGTTTAACTCTAGTGCTCAACTTATCGCGCAGATTTCAAGTGTTCAGTGTGTCGGGCGCCTCGGTTGTAAACCGTCGTTCTGAACACGTTACTCGCTTCAACATAGTGCTGCGCCCATGTGGCACGTAGCTGTCAGACATCCCTACTTGGCTCATGCCACGCGCCAGGTTTGAAATCGTGTTAAAAACAGATCGCGTTGCAATCGCACTTGACCCGATCAAGCAATCACAGGCCGCCTCGTCACCATCTGCTCGAACTTTCGAACTAACACTTTGAGAACTTACCAGCCAATGAGTTAGCGCCGCGTCATACTATCAAAGTGAACATGTTCAACTGTATGGTGAAGTGTGAAGAAATAATCATTGTGTACTCGATACTATATACCCCGACCGTTTCAGAAGAAAATAATCAGTACATGGTAACTATATATTAGAAGGAAATTTCATTAACAATGTAAACAACCCCCAACTAGAGGTATCAAAAACGAATTCATAAACAAGGCCGATAATAAAACACACAGTGATCTCTGTATAATAACCTGAGATAACGGTGGTCACTCTTTTGCAATCTTTTGCAGGAAGCCAGAGTTTAGGAGGACAAAGTATACAATATGATATGAAATGTACGGTAAATTGTTTATTGTTGAAGATATTAACAGTGTGCTTATAATGTTTTTCTTAATTTGAACGGTTTTTGGTCTTGTCATCCATTCATTCTATTGGTACAATCGAAGCACGATCATCACTATGAGAAATTGTAAAGGGTAATCCAACGACTTGCATGATTTTACAGTACCGTATGTAGATTTGTATTCAATCATTTATTTGTCAACCTTGCTAGTATCTCAATCATTTCTGTATGGTCAAGTTGTGCATGCATTATGTAGTTCTACCATACCCTCTTGACGTTTGTATGCCTATTGATACACCTTAAAGTTACCCACCTTATTTAATTTTTAGAGACAATAATAGTTATTTGCTATGCTTGATATGTCAGAACATATATATAGCTTATGCTGTTGTGTAGGCTATAGTGGGGTATCCCATAGGGGGTACAACCCAATTAGGGTTTCCTATATGTACTCACTTCATTCATAGTTCATTCATTCTTGTTCAAATCTTCTCATGGTATCGAGCAGGTTCCCCCTTGGGAACTGTGCTTAGGGCCCACCACATCGATTTTTTTTTTCCTGCCCGAAGCGCGCTCAGCCCGAGTCGCGCTCCGGGCCCTCACTTCGTCGAGCCGCCCTAGCGGCCCTTCACTGCGGCCCCGCCACTCGTCTCAGCGGCCCCGCCGCCCGTCTTCGCGGCCCCGCCGCCTCTCTCCTAGCGGCCCCGCCGCCCTACCTAGCGGCCCCGCCGCCCTACCTCGCGGCCTCGCCGCCCTATTGCGCGGCCCCGCCGCCCTACCTAGCGGCCCCGCCACCCTTACTCGCGGCCTCGCCGCCCCATTGCGCGGCCCCGCCGCCCTACCTCGCGGCCTCGCCGCCCCATCGCGAGGCCCCGCCGCCCTACCTAGCGGCCCCGCCGCCCTTCCTCGCGGCCCCGCCGCCCCATCGCGCGGCCCCGCCGCCCTATCTAGCGGCCCCGCCGCCCTTCCTCGCGGCCCCGCCGCCCCATCGCGCGGCCCCGCCGCCCTTCCTCGCGGCCCCGCCGCCCCATCAGCGGCCCCGCCGCCCTATCAAGCGGCCCCGCCGCCCTTCTCTGCAGCGGCCCCGCCACTCCTCTGCAGCGCAGCCGAGCCGCCCAGCAGCAGAGCAGCCGAGCCGCCCAGCCGTCGAGCCGCCCTGCAGCCGAGCCGCCCGGGAGCCGAGCCGCCCTGCCGCCGAGCCGCCCTGCCGCCGAGCCGCCCGGGAGCCGAGCCGCCGAGCCGCCCTGCCGCCGAGCCGCCCTGCCGCCGAGCCACCCTGCCGCCGAGCCGCCCGGGAGCCGAGCCGCCCAGTCGCCGGGCCGCCCTACTGCCGAGCCGCCCGACCTGCCCTGCCTGGTGAGCACAGCACCACTGTTACTGCGTGCCCTTCCCCTACTGCTTGCACTACTACACTGTCGTCGTCATGGCTACCCCTAGTGTCCTCGCTTTTGACGCTGAGGGTCGAGCCATTGACTTTGAGGTCTGGGTCGACGACCTGCAGCTGTTCTTACAGTGCGATAGGGCGGACGGTCTTTCCCTCTTTGACCTCACCTCTGGCGCCTCTCCTGCCCCTGCTGCTGATGCTGACCCCACTGTTCGCTCTCAGTGGGCCACCCGCGATGCTGCTGCACGTCTTGCTGTGCGTCGCCACCTGCCTA